CCACTAAAAAATATGTTTTATCAAGATCAAAGAAATCGATGTGGATACGTTCCCAAGGTTTCTTTGATTTAGGCCAAAATTGCCCTACCTCTTTACGGGGCATAGGAGCACAGGCATTACAAGGAACGCATTTCCTGGTAATCCGTTCAATATCCTTGCCCATACCAGGCCACCATACTGTCGTAAATGTGACATTTTCTAATATAATGTCAATCAATTTATATATATATATATATTAGTTTTATCAATTGTATATAATTAATGAAATGTCAGTCATTTCTGATAAATATGTTGTTGATTTTTTTTGACAAATAATCACTTTTTAATTTTTCATGTTACAATAAAACTTTTGAATTTTCACTTACTGTGACTTAATAAAAATATAGATCCAAGTTTCAGTTCCGTGTTTTCTTTTAGATTTTTCTATATTTTAGAATTTCGTTAGTTTTAGTAATTTTTTATATAGTTAACATTTGAAGCTTCCTTTTTGTTTTTGTCACATACATATTCTCGAGCCCAAGACTTCATCTTGTCTTGACCTTGATGACCGGCGTGCAATAATTTCATAATTTTACTCCGTAATTTATAAGGAATCTATAATGACATATTTTCAATATGACCAAATATATTCGGAAACCGATGTTATTAAACCCGTCTAAATTGAACTATGATTTTAACTGAAAATGACCAACAACCCGTCTATATTGACATATTTTCAATATGACCAAATATATTCGGAAACCGAACCCATACGAACCCCCCCAAAAAAATAAGACGCTTCTTATTTATCCCAATCTTACATGATCGTGATGACGAATCACAGTCACCCCTGTTATTAACAAAATTTCACTTAATTTCGAACCCCGGTTCAATATGACCAGGGCCGTGATTCCTTATAAATTACGGAGTAAAATTATGAAATTATTGCACGCCGGTCATCAAGGTCGAGACAAGATGAAGTCTTGGGCTCGAGAATATGTATGGTGGCTTGGTATGGGCCAGGATATTGAACGGATTACCAGGAAATGCGTTCCTTGTAATGCCTGTGCTCCTATGCCCCGTAAAGAGGTAGGACAATTTTGGCCTAAATCAAAGAAACCAACGTATCCACTTCGATTTCTTTGATCTTGATAAAAAGACATATTTTTTAGTGGTAGACTCGTATTCTAAATGGATAGAATATGCAGAAGTACATGGATATACCACAAAAATTGTTGTTTAAAAATTAAGAGAATTATATGCTCGGTTCGATTTTCCGGACAAGATAGTGTCTGACGGGGGTCCCGCCTTTGTCAGTAAAAATTTTAAACAGTTTTGTGTTGAGTTACAGACAAAACACATTCTAGCTCCACCATATCATCCCAGCTCGAATGGACAAGCTGAGAGGATGGTAGCCATTGTTAAAAATTGGATCAAAAAGGCTGGAACCCATAAAGAGGAGGCTTACATGTCTCAATTATATTACCTCAATTCTCATAATCGAGAGGGAGTTACGCCTGTCGAGTTATTTTTAGGTAGGCGAACACGGGGTCCTTTGGATTTCTTAAAACCAAAGAAGAAAACTATTACCTCAATGGAAGTAAAATTAGGGGTACGGTTTGCCGTGGGACAAAAGGTTTGGGCCCGATTGTTTGACAATCGGGCAACCAAATGGGAAAAGGGTTGGGTCATATTGAACCGGGGTTCGAAATCAAGTGAAATTTTGTTAATAACAGGGGTGACCGTGATTCGTCATCACATGTAAGATTGGGATAAATAAGAAGCGTCTTATTTTTTTTGGGGGGTTCATATGGGTTCGGTTTCGGAATATATTTAGTCATATTGAAAATATGTCAATATAGACGGGTTGTTGGTCATTTTCAGTTAAAATCATAGTTCAATTTAGACGGGTTTAATAAAGGTTTCCGAATATATTTGGTCATGTTGAAAATATGTCAATATAGACGGGTTTAATAAAAAGTTTGTCAACATGGTAATGATATATATTTGGTCATATTAAAAATAGGTCAATATAGACGGGTTGTTGGTCATTTTCGATTAAAATCATAGTTCAATGTAGACGGGTTTAATAAAAAGTTTGTCAACATGTAATGATATATATTTGGTCATATTAAAAATAGGTCAATATAGACGGGTTGTTGGTCATTTTCGATTAAAATCATAGTTCAATGTAGACGGGTTTAATAAAAAGTTTGTCAACATGGTAATGATATGGAAAGTTTTCTTCGGTTTGGTTCGTTAAGGAATGTTCTTTGTCTGTTTTGTTAAATGAATAACAGATTTGTGTTAATGTTATCTTGTATTAAATAAAGTTTTGTTTTCAATGTAATGAAAAGATGTTTGTATATTGTCTGTTATTAAATGAATAGAAAGTTTTTTTTGTGTAATGAAAAGATGTTTTTATCTTTTATTAGATTAATAGAAAATTTTTTTTTTAGTGTAATGAAAAGATGTTTTTATCTTTTATTAGATTAATAGAAAGTTTTGTTTTAAAGGGTATTCAAATAGTTAGTGATTTTAATGTTGATCAACTTAAACATTTGGTAAGAAGATGGTTGATGTATTCAATATTTGTTTCTCCTAGTTCTATGGTTGCAAAATTTTTCCTTACTTATTTTTATTGGGGGATTCGCGTGAATGAGTTAGAAAGTATGTTATTTGTTTCATTTGACGCTCACACCAAGGGATATTGTAATAAAATTATTGAGAAAATTGAAGCACATGGGAGAAATAGTTTTTATTTTGATATAATGTGCTTTGCGCCGTGGGTCTAACTTAAGTGGAAGGGTGTTGCATTTTTGCGTTACAAAAAAATGCATTATGCAAATCGTAAACAAAAATAAAATCCCCGTCTATGTAAATGAGAAAAAACGCGTGATATTTGTAGATTTTTTCATACTTTAACAGTAGAACTTTTTATTCTTCGCTAGGGAGACTATGTAAATGTTGATTAAAGAAAAAGGATATATAATGGATAAATTATGATACGAAAAATGATCAATTTTTTTAACTTAAATTTACTTTTTAATTTTTTACTTTTATTTTTCTTAGATTAATTTTAATTTTCTTTTATTTTGATTATGTTTCACTTTGTATTTAATTATATTTATTATTATTTAATAAAGGATTCAACTATAACATTATATATAGAAGGTGTTTCTATATTTTTAATCATAAAATTTTTTTTTTAAAAAATAAGATAAAGTAATTTTTTTTTAGATTTTAATTATAAAATTTTATATAAAAATTAAAATTTTTTAAAAAATTAAATTTTTTTTTTAAAAGAAAATATAAGAAGATGATTTTTTTTATTATCTCCCGTTGCATCTGATATCCAAATATTCCAGACTATAAGTCACATGGAAACTACCAGCCGCTTAGTAGATCTGGGATCATGTTACATTCAGGTCACCTTGATACCCAAGAACACCGGCATGACGATACAAGCCCCGATGTCGCAAGATAATTCTATGATGTCTGGGGGTCTCCGTATAAAGAAATGCTTCCATTGTCGTAGCGATGACCACATTCGAAGTCAGTGCGCGAGCTTAGGAAGAGATGGACGACCGCCTCTAGCCCCGATCAGTGACAATGCCCTGGGACGATCGACCAAACATCATCGAAGGAGAATGGTGGGCTCAACACAAGGGCCAACTCCCTTTTCTCAGATGCAAACGGCTCCGTCGGCCAACCGGGGTGCTCTAATTGGCACCTTCAATGGTAGTTTCAGCAGTATATCAAACCCCCCCCATCGACAATATTCTGCAGCGAGCCGTCGATAGTATCCACGGGCCTGCTCCGACGACGTCCGCCTTTTCTGCGGAAGCCCCTCGTATCGACGATATGGAGTTGTGGGAGAACCAATTGCTGTCGTGAGGACTCCCACAAGATCCGTGCATCCTAGCTTTGTTAAATATCTCTATATATATATTTTTTTGGCGAGCCCCAGCCCATAAAGGGGTGGCATGTCGTAAATGTGACATTTTCTAATATAATGTCAATCAATTTATATATATATATTAGTTTTATCCATTGTATATAATTAATGAAATGTCAGTCATTTCTGATAAATATGTTGTTGATTTTTTTTGACAAAGATTGACTTTTTAATTTTTCATGATTTTTTTTAATTACAATAAAACTTTTGAATTTTCACTTACTGTGACAATAAAAATATAGATCCAAGTTTCAGTTCCGTGTTTTCTTTAGTTATTCTTTCTGAGTTAATTCTTACTTTAGAATTTCGTTAGTTTTAGTAATTTTTTATATAGTTAACATTTGAAGCTTCCTTTTGTTTTTGTCAGGTTGGTTGGAGTTCCTGAATGGATTATATCAAGTGATGCTAAGATTAAAATTTTCAGGTTAACAAGATAGCATATTTTAAATTTACCTTGATTAGTTGGAGTTCCTGAATGGATTATATCAAGTGATGTTAAGATTAAAATTTCAAGGTTAACAAGATAGCATATTTTAAATTTACCTTGATTAGTTGGAGTTCCTGAATGGATTATCAATTGAAGCTAAGATTAAAGTTTCCAGGTTAACAAGATAGCATATTTTAAAGGATTATCAATTGATGCTACGAAGAAAATTTCCAGGTTAACAAAATAGCATATTAGTAATATATCTAAGAAGAAAATTTCCAGGTTAACAAGATAGCATAATAGTAATATATTCTATAATTTACCTGGGTTGGTTATGGTCTCAAATGATGCTGGAGAAAATATTATTGAGCAATCAGCTTGTTAAATTGAGCATACAAATTTTAAGCTTAAGCAAAATTTAGCAAAAAGTCACGCGACAAAACATCAAAACACAAAAAAAAAGTATATCATGCGGCACGATACGTAAAAATCGAGCATAAAACTAAAATTTATTAGCATTCATATCTATAAAACATATGATCTGAATTTAAAAAAATCGATATATCGATGATTATTATATCATCAAGATAATCAAACATATGGCTGATAGGTATAAAATAATATAAATTTAGCTAATTTAAGAAAAATAAAACTTGTAGAATTTTACAAAGCTTTATATATTTTTTTTTATCAAATTCATTAATAACACAATTTATATATAAAATATATATTATGACTAATTCACATGTTTCGATAAAGTATAATTATTATTAATATTTTAACATATAACTTTAAGATAATCATTAATATTGGGATGAAATAAAGTTATTAATTTTCTTACAATATTATTTTCTAACCTTAATATATATTATTAAATTTTTTTTTTCCAATATTTTCTTATTCCAAATGCTTACATATGATCTAATTATTAGCAATAAATTCTCATCTATACAGTGTGAAAATAGTGAGATAATCTCTGAACAAATTTTTATTTTTCTGTACCATAGATACTCATTTAACAACAATTAATATATATATATATATATATATATAAAGAGGAGGATCTTTATCTAAACTTTTATAAAAATATCAAAATAAGTTTCATTTTTTTTGACTAAGATTTATTAACTACAATAACCCTGCAGGGTGATTTTTTTTAAGGCCCAGGCTTGTTAAAATATTTTTGTCAGAACCCAACTTGAGCATAAATTTTTAGGCCAACTCAACCTAAGTTTGACTAAATTTTTTTTATAATTTGGGTTTTTTTAAGAAACAATTGAAAATTATATGTATTTATTTACATATTGCCATCTTAATAAAAATATATTTAACCCCCATAATCTAATTAATAATTATATAAAGTTGCATTTTATTTAATTAGTATACACATAAATTTTATTTAGTTAAAATATTTAAAATAAAGTTAAAATACAATTAAATTTAAAAATTATTGTGTTTATATAAAAATAATTTCCATGATTAGTGTCAATAAAAGATGATATTATTGTTTATATAGAGATAAAATTTCTAAAAAATATAGAGACATAACAATATAATTTTTATGAAACAAAATGATCATAAAGGATATTTGTTTTATTGAGGATATTTGTTTTTTATTATTTATTAATCGGGTTAGGCTTTTGTTCTGACACTCTTACAGCCCAACCCAAGCCTGAGAAAAAGGTCTTAAATGTCAAACCTGACCTGAGGCTTGAACAGCCCAAATAGGATTAACAAAAATTTAAAGACATATAATGATAATTTAATCATAATTTTTAATCGAAAATAATTTTCAACATGTTTCATACATGATACTAAAACAATTATATTATTCAATTTAGAAAATTTGATTTATTGAAAGACCTAGAATTATTCATTTTTAACAATTTGATGCTCACTTCCTGTCAATTCTCATTTAGCATCACATGTTCTTCTTTTTATGAAAACTTTTTGTATTATAAAAGGGACCCGGAGTGAACCATAATGAACTGTTAAACCATTATAAACCGTTATAAATATCTGAACCTTAACCGAACCAATATAATTATTTTTTGAGTCTAAAATTTTTTACATGCCCTCCCATTATTTATAAAAAATTTTTAACCCAAGCCCGCTTATAAAATTTAATTATGGTCATTCTTTCATTTTTATAAGCATCTAATAAAAATATTTCATTACTCCTCTACAAAAGTTTATAATTTAGGAAATTAATATAAGTATAAAAATAATCAATGTAAATTATGGACAATTTATTTGATCAAATTGAATATTTATGAAAAAAATATAATTGTAAAATTAATATTATATGATGCAAAAATAATAATGAATCGACATTTTCTGGATTCAAACACGTTCTTCTTTGTTCTAAAAATCTTCCAGCAATGCTAAATCCGCGTTCGGAAGAAGCACTAGTTGCAGGAATTGGCAATATTTTTCTTGCTAATCTTGATAGCTTTGGCAAATCTCTTTCTTGTCGTTTCCACCAAAGTAGGATATTCGGTTGAAGTATATCCTCTTTCTCAAGTGAGATCTTTAAATAAAAGTGAAAAAAACAATTTTAAGAGAAAAGTTTTATTACATTCCCATAAAAGGAAATTTTTAATAGACAAAAATGTTTATTTATTCTAAAAAAAAAGTTTTATTGTTGTGTTTATTACATAATTTAGTTAGGTAAATGTTCTCCACTTAAAAAAAACGATTGGTATAATAAAAAAAGAAATATTGTTATAGTTCATTTAAACAATTATTTTTTTTAGTTTATTTTAAATTTCCTTAACCCGCCCGCCCATTGTTCAAATTTCTTAACCCGCCCGCCCAGCCCGCCCATAGTTTCAATTTTTTTTAACCCGCCCGCCCAACTCGCCCATATTTTCAAATTTTTTTAACCCGCCCGCCTGTCCATTTTCGAAAAATTTTTCACCCGCCCACTGTACAAACTTTATATTTTCAGGCCCGGCCCAGCACGGATTTTTTTAGAAAATAATTTTCAAGCCTGGCCCTGATTTTATATATTTATTTTTAATTTTTATAGCTAATAATGGCGATTTAAAATATTTGGTCTTAGGTATTTAATAATTTTTTTTAGGCCCTGTTCGGGTATATTTGAAAAATTAAAACGGCCCAGCCCATGTACCCGTACCAGGCGGGCTTAGGGCCGGGCCTGCACGTTCTGATAAATCTATAAAATAATACTATAATATAATTAGACGATTTTGATTTTTAAATTTAACATAAATCAATTAAAAGATAAATTTTGCGTTATTTTTTTTCATATATGCCATTAAAACTAAACTTTGTTTTTGTCTATCTTTCATTGACTCTCTAAACAATTGGAAGTACAACATTAAAGATCAAATATTAAATAAGTTACTAAGTCTTATGGATGTAAATAATTATTCTAATGTAAGGTGTTTACCTATCCGCCCGGTGCCTGAGGGTGGTTCAGTTACATTCCACTACGAAAATTGGTATTTTAAAAGATTCATTCACTTCATAGTAAAATATTCGCCCTCTTTATATAAGTTTTCATCCTCTTCAAATTATATATATATTATTTTAATATTTGATATGTATTGATCCATAATTAACTTTTAAGGATGATCGCGTGAAATACAGGAAGTAGTTTGTCAATTTCAATATCTTGAACTTCACTGGAAAGATAGGTACTTTGAAAAAGTATAAGTCTTCTTCATGTCATAATACTTATTCTCTTTCAACTTTTTGAAACTATTATATTATAAATTAACACTTTTGTTTAAGTATTATCGCTTGAATAGCAGGAAGTAGTGCTGTAAACGTTACTACAAAAAAGAAACGCGTTACCATTACTCGTTACATCTGAAAAAGGAACGCGTTATCGTTACTCGTTACCTTTTCAAAAATGGTACCGACTTTTCAAAAAAGTAACCGGCTACTCGTTACTTAAAAAAATTAAATATATACAAAAATAATATTTATTGTTTTCCGACAATATATATAATAAAATAAAACTATACAAAAAGAATATATAAGATCATTTTATAAAAAAAAATTAATTTATTTAATTATAATATAAGTATAATTATACAAAAATAATATATTATAAGATAACATCTTTATGTAACAATTTCTTATTTATTTTTATCAACAATTAATTTCAAAATTTGCTCAGACAAACAAGAGCGCTTAGTGCTCAACACAGCTGGTTAAATAATGGGATGTTATATTTTATATATAGTATTTTAATAATTAAACAAAGTTTTTTAAAATCCCTATTTTTTATTCTTTAAATTTATTAACAATTATAGTCAAAATAGAAGATATAAAAAACTCAATATAATATTTTGAACCAATACCAATATTTTGTTAATCTTGGGTTTTTAATGTTGGTTCCCAGCTCAATACTATAGTATAATTTAATTGCTTATATTTAGAGCTGTGCCGATCCACATATTTTTCACCGATCCCATCCGATATTACTTCAAAACCGACCCGATACTGATAACGATTCGATATTTATATTGATTTTTCACCACCCCCCTTGAACCATATGTAGTTAAGAAATTATTATAAATCATTATTTTTTATGCAAAAAATCAAATTATGCATTTTAATTTAATTTTTCTTATTTCTACAATAAGACTATAATAAAAAAAACATACATTTGATAATATATTTATTTTATGTTGATATGAATTATAAAATTGTATTTAACATATAAAATTATAGTATATTAGATTTTTTAAAATAAATACGAGATCCTCTAGATTTTCTGGCAATAAGCTTCTACGATATAGAGTATCTATATCTCCTGCCGTAAAGGTAAACTCAGATGACTCCGCAGATAACGCATTTTGCAAAATTATTTTTGTCTTTTGTAAAATATTTCTATAATTCTGATACCATATTTAAAAAAATTCTTTTATTTAAAGTAAAAATAATAAAATTGGCGTTATTAATTAAAAAGATTTAAAACAATAAAAACTTTGGGTGTTCCTTTCTATTTTTATAAAAATTGAAGTTGGCCGAACATTTGGAAGCACTAACGATGAATCATATGTCATTTTTTAGTGATTCGTTAGTGCTTATTAGTGCTTCAATCCGTATAGTAGCCGAATTTAAGGAAAAAGTTATAAGCAAAAATAAAAATTTGTGCCAACTTCACGCTTAAAAGTTGACTGAAAGCACTAACGATGAAACTTATATCATTTTTTAGTGCTTAGTTAGTAGAGGTTAGTGCTTCAATCACTTTTGTAGCCGAATTTAAGAATAAAAAGTTATTGGCGAAAAAAACAAAAATAAACAAATATTGGCGATGTGCCAAAACAAAAACTAGAGTAGTACTAAACATCCGGTTTTCGCCATTTAGTGCTTAATTAATGTATTTAAATTCCGTTATTAATTTGGTTACCGCCATATGGGAAAAAAGTTATAAGCGAAATAAAAATTATGACGTCACGATTTAAGCGTGAAGTTGGCCGAATTGGAAGCACTAACGATGAAACTTATATCATTCTTTAGTGCTTGTAGGTAGAGGTTGGTGCTTCAATCACATTTGTAGCCGAATTTAAGAATAAAAAGTTTTTAGCGAAAAAAACAAAAATAAACAAATATTGGCGACGTGCCAAAACAAAAACTAGAGTAGTACTAAACATCCGGTTTTCGCCATTATTTAGTGCTTAATTAATGTATTTAAATTCCGTTATTAATTTGGTTAACCGCCATATAGAAAAAAAGTTATAAGCTAAATAAAAATTATGACATCACGATTTAAGCGTGAAGTTGGCCGAACTTTTGGAAGCACTAACGATGAAACTTATATCATTCTTTAGTGCTTCGTTAGTAGAGGTTAGTGTTTCAATCACTCTTGTAGCCGAATTTAAGAATAAAAAGTTATTGGCGAAAAAAACAAAAATAAACAAATATAGGCGACGTGCCAAAACAAAAACTAGCCATTATTTAGAGCTCAATTAGTAAATTTGAATTCCGTAAATTTGGATAACCGTCATATGAAAAAATCGTAATACGCTAAATAAATATTTAGAGGTCAAATTTTGGCCAGAAAATTATGAAAGCACTAACGATGAAATTTATATCCTTCTTTAGGGCTTCCTTAGTAGAGGTTAGTGCTTCAATTACTTTTGTAGCTGAATTTTAGAATAAAAAGTTATTTGCGAAAAAACAAATAATGGCGACGTGCCAAAACAAAAACTATAGTAGTACTAAACATCCGGTTTTCGCCATTATTTAGAGCTCAATTAGTAAATTTGAATTCCGTAAATTTGGATAACCGTCATATGAAAAAATCGTAATACGCTAAATAAATATTTAGAGGTCAAATTTTGGCCAGAAAATTATGAAAGCACTAACGATGAAATTTATATCCTTCTTTAGGGCTTCCTTAGTAGAGGTTAGTGCTTCAATTACTTTTGTAGCTGAATTTTAGAATAAAAAGTTATTTGCGAAAAAACAAATAATGGCGACGTGCCAAAACAAAAACTATAGTAGTACTAAACATCCGGTATTCGCCATTATTTAGTGCTTAATTAGCAAATTTGAATTCCGTAGTTAATTTGGTTAACCTTCTTTATAAAAAATTGTAATACGCTAAAGAAATGTTTAGAGGTCAAATTTTGGTTTTAGAAAATTATGAAAGCACTAACGATGAAATTTATATCCTTCTTTAGGGCTTCCTTGGTAGAGTTTAGTGCTTTAATTACTTTTGTAGCCGAATTTAACATAAAAAGTTATTTGCGAAAATAACAAATAATGGCAATGTGCCAAATCAAAAACTATAGTAGTACTAAACATCCGGTTTTCGCCATTATTTAGTGCTTAATTAGCAAATTTGAATTCCATAATTAATTTGTTTAACCGTCTTTATAAAAAATTGTAATACGCTAAAGAAGTGTTTAGAGATCAAATTATGGCCAGAAAATTATGAAAGCACTAACGATGAAATTTATATCCTTCTTTAGGGCTTCCTTAGTAGAGGTTAATTCTTCAATCATATTTGTAGCCGAATTTAAGAATAAAAAGTTATTTGCCAAAAAAACAAAAATATACAAATAATGGCGACTTGCCAAAACAAAAACTATAGTAATACCAAACATCCGGTTTTCGCCATTATTTAGTGAGTTAATTTGAATTCCGTAATTAATTTAGTAAACCGTCTTTAAAAATTGTAATATACTAAGGATTATGAAAATAAATATGTAATAAAACCTAATTAAAAAAATTGTAATTTATAAATTTATAATTATATAATTAAAAATAAAATTCTATAATTGAGTCCCCAAAAAGGAACCATAATTGTGTCTAAAAATTTCTATTTGAATTTTTTGTCTAATAAAAAGAAATTCTCTGGGTTCATTTGTGAAAAGTCGTATTTTATTACCCAAATTTTTTAAAAACATAAATGTTGAAGGCGAAAAATGCCCGTTAGTAGAAGTCACTACTGGAGTGAATATGAAGTTTTTAAAATTTTTGTATTTGTTTGCCTTTTTAATTTCTGCCTGTCTTATTAAATTGAAATTTATGTTTGAAGGGAATGATGAGACACACGTGTAGTCCCAAGAGTGATTTGCCGAGGGCCCAAGGTATGGTTGTCATACCACCAGGTCTTAAACCATCTACTTGAGATAAATTTGATGGTTCAAGATTGTTTGGAATGTGTTCAGCTGTTAGGCTTCTATTTATTATATGGTTTGCAGCTGAGTGTTGATTTATTAATCACATGTGGAAAATTCTGTGGTTAATTTTTTATATTACTCAAAAAATTTTTGATTACTTGTAAATTTTTATAGTATGTAACACATTTCCGTAATGTGAAACATTCTTATATAGCTAAATAACTTTCCATAATTATTGTAAAAAACATTTTGATTTTGTGATAAAATTTTTAAAAAAAATTTTTTAATAATTAAACTTTAATAAAGACGAACGTCAAATTTATGAATCGAATATAATTTTTTAATGTTTTGGTCTAAAATTTTCTTAGGCGTCGAGAAAGGTGTCAGAAAATTTGAAGGATTAATATGGCAATAATTTATCGAATCAGGGTAACTCTCAGAAGTCCTGCATAAGTATTAGTGATCTGCATCGAGCCTAATTTTCCAAGCCCGGCCCGGTCCGAAATTTTTTAAAAAAAGTTTTGCCGGCCCGGCCCGAACCAGAAATTTTTTTAAAAAAATTTACCGAACTAGTAACGGTACCTAGTTATGTTTCAAAAGTATAATAATACTTCTTTTTATTAATATCCGTCGATTCAAAAATTTTAACAAAGTTCTAAAAAAAGGATGTCTTTCAAAAATTATATTTATCGTCTGCCATTTTATTTACTTAATTTTTAAAATATTCCATTTTAAAATATAAGATAAGTAAGTAATTTTTTTTTCTCACAATAAAAGTTTTCATCTATATTATTTTGGGTTAGGGTACCTTTTCAGGGGCAATTATTTTTGTTATTTTTTTATGTTATTTTTTGTTATTTTTTTATGCGATTTTTTGTTATTTTTTATGCGATTTTTTTATGCGATTTTTTGTTATTTTTTTATGATTGGTTCATTTTCTTATTGGTTAATTTTTTATTTAAGATATTTTTAAATTAATATATCTTTTTTTATTTAAGATATTTTAAAATAATTTTTTCTAAAATTTAAAATTCGTACAATTATTTAAAGGAAGTGAATGGGGGCAAAGGCTAGGGGTAAGGGGTAAAATTATTAGATTATGTACAATGCGGGTAGGTTTGGGGTTAAATTTTTGATAGATGAAACTTCGCTATTTAAAATTTATTTGGTTGATTCTTTCTATACAAACTTAATATGATTTCTTCTAAACAAACTTAATACGATTCCTTCTATACAAACTTAATATGATTCCCTCTATACAAACTTAATATGATTCCTTCTATACAAACTTAATATGATTCCTTCTATATAAACTTAATATGATTCCTTCTATACAAACTTAATATGATTCCTTCTATACAAACTTAATATGAATAATTTTTTCTAAAATTTGTATAAAGAATTTAATTTTTTTTAGTGATAACACTATAATTAAAGGAAGATTCCAAAAATAAATAAAATTTAAGCATAACAATCGAAATAATTTATTCATTAAATTGAAATATACTATTAAAATTTATACAATCATTAATAAAATGAATAAAAACATCAAAACGATTTAATAATCTATATTTTCGAAAATATCTATATTCAAGAAGATATTCATGAATATTATCCCGATCCCCATGTCTTTTATAATTTGCCTTTAGATCCCGCCACAGCCTCTCGACTTTTTGAGTGTGGATCGATCTGTCATTTGGATCAACAAAATTTTGCGAATGGTTGATCCGATAGTGGAAATAGTTTGAACTTTCTAGCCGATTATATCTAAGATAAATATATTTACATTTATCACCACTTTTGCTTTATTGAAAAAATAAATTCACATACCCTAACCACGAGTCAGTCATTATCGTGGAATCTTGCATAACATTATCTTTAACCACACGATAGGTGGTATCTTGATCTCTTGTTGTGGTGGCACTTAAAAATATCTAATTTGTTTCCCGACATATACCACCAATAATCCATATAGCCTCGGAAGTCAAATGCCGACCACGGTTATATTTACGCTTCCATACATGAGTTTCATCAATTTCAATAACGTGGCCAGGCCCCCCGATCTTTGAATGATTCGAGGCTATATGGAATCCACATACCTTTCGAAATTTTTTAAACCTATATAAGTGAAGTAAAAAACCATATTATACTTTAGATTACCATCTTGAAATTGCCTTCTTATCATAATCTAACTCTTTCGAAGCAGTTAAAATTTTATAACGGCCTAAAAATAATTTTGTTTAATATTTTTTAAAGAATTGGTACTTATGTACAAGTACACTAGTCTTAAAAATCTCCCAACATCATGAATTCCTTCAAAAATGGAATCTAAAAATTCGTCATTTATGATATATATATATATATTAATATTACCTTTCCATATTGAATACGTTCTACGACACCTACTGCATCGATATCGTAAACTCTTATTGTTTTTTTCAACCCGCATTACGGAATTGCAACAAGTATGTTGTATTCCAGGCGGTATAAATTGATTATTTAGACAAAAATCATAAGCTTTCTCATCATTTTGAGTATAAACACCAACTTCAAAAATATTCATTTTAAAAAAAATGGAAGGAATTATATAATATATATTGGAACTAAAAAAAAGGGAACCAAAAAAAGATTTATACCAAAAAAAAAATTAAAAATGGAAAGTTTCGTCTACTAAAAATCTTACCCCTAGCCTTCCCCCTTATTTGCCCCCATCACTTCCTTTAAATAATTGTACGAATTTTAAATTTTAGAAAAAATTATTTTAAAATATCTTAAATAAAAAATTAACCAATAAGAAACCAATCATAAAAAAATAACATAAAAATAATAGCTTTCATAAAAAAATTGGTATCGTCCCTCTAATTCGTATGAAAATTTAGGAAATAGGTTTTTTGTCGTATTGCAATAGTTCGTTCCCAAAAAAAAGCCAATTTGCAATAGTTCGTTCCCAAAGTAGTTTGTTCCCAAAATAATTATGAAAATCCAAGAGATTAAAGCTAAATCGCAACAATTATCAATAAGAAAATTGTAAAGTATATATTATTTAATTTGCATATAATAATTAATTTTTTTAGAAAACTAGGCAAAACAAAGAGTGCATATAAACAAAGCTATTATTCAAATTCTAATAATCAAATGGTTCAATATAGTTTGATTAAATCAAAATACAACAATAATATTATCTATTCTAACAAAATTTTAATTCAATTTATACATTATCATGCAAAAAAAAGAGATTGCATTTTTATATATTAATTAAAATTTTTATTATGAGATATTTCATATAAATTTTAATAATGTTATATCAAAGATATATTTATAATAAAGAGTTTGCTAAAATATTGTAAATTATCTGCTATTTATATCATTTTTAAACAAAGCTATTATTCAAATTCTAATAATCAAATGGTTCAATATAGTTTGATCAAATCAAAATACAACAATAATATTATCTATTCTAACAAAAATTTAATTCAATTTATACATTATCATGCAAAAAAAAGAGATTGCATTTTTATATATTAATTAAAAATTTTATTATGAGATATTTCATATAAATTTTAATGATGTTATATCAAAGATATATTTATAATACAATTGTGCTGTCTATTATATATTAATGGATCTAGAGCATTAAGAGTTTGCTAAAATATTGTAAATTATCTGCTATTTATTTTTTAATATATACTGTTCTTGTATTAATATAAATATTAATTACCATTTAGCCATTTAAATTTAATTTAAAATAAAAAGAATTTTTTAATTTTGCCAAATCTGTTACAACGTTTCAAAATTATACAATTTTATATCGCTTCAAATATATTTGTGGCCATTTTAGGTCATTTGACGTTTTTTCACAAATGTTCATACGATCTAGTGGACCCTAACCAAAAAATTACATAAAAAAAAATCGCATAAAAAAATAACAAAAAATCGCATAAAAAAATAACATAAAAAATAACAAAAATAATTGCCCCTGAAAAGGTACCCTAACCGATATAAATATATGCGTAATTTTTACGAATAAAATAAAACTATGTAAATAGAACAATTTGAATTAAGAATAAAAAATTTCTGAGAATGTTTTTAACCATATCATTCAATGACACCTCAGAATAATAGATGCTGGAGAAAAAATGTAGTTGTTACAATAAAATAATAAAAATTATATAATTATTACAAAAGAATGGGGTTCAATGGACCCATTTAGGCAGTAGTGGAAATAATATTTTGTGACTTGGTTATAGCTATTCATGTATTTTGGGAACCTTAATATATATAATCTTCTGAAACATTATATTAATCAAATGTGGCAGATGATCTACGGAAACATTGATAGGTTTAGTGCAAAAAGACAATATGCATTTTTTAATTACTTGGGGTTTTTAATCAAACTAATTAGGGTTTAAATTTTACAAAATAAGTACTAAATAATGGTGAAAATAAAATGTTTGTCGCTGATAGATTTTTTGTTTATTTTGTTAATAACTTTTTTATTTTAAATTAGGCTATTAAACTGTTTGAACCAACCTCTACTAAGGAAGCTCTAAAGAATTATAAAAATTTCATTGTTAATGCTTTCATAATTTTCTGGCCAAAATTTGACCTCTAAACATTTCTTTAACGTATTACATTTTTTTATAAAGATGGTTAACCAAATTAATTATGGAATTCAAATTTACTAATTGAGCACTAAATAATAACAATACCGGATGTTTATTACTACTATAGTTTTTGTTTTGGCACGTCGCCATTATTTGTTTTTTCGCAAATAACTTTTTATTCTTAAATTCAACTACAAAAGTAATTGAAGCACTAACTTCTACTAAGGAAGCCCTAAAGAAGGATATAAATTTCATCGTTAGTGCTTTCATAATTTTCTGGCCAAAATTTGACCTCTAAATATTTATTTAGCATATTACGATTTTGTCATATGACGGTTATCCAAATTAATTACGGAATTCAAATTTACTAATTGAGCTCTAAATAATGGCGAAAATCGGATGTTTAGTACTACTCTAGTTTTTGTTTTGGCACGTCACCAATATTTGTTTATTTTTGTTTTTTTCGCCAATAACTTTTTATTCTTAAATTCGGCTACAAATGTGATTGAAGCACTAACCTCTACTAACGAAGCACTAAAGAATGATATAAGTTTCATCGTTAGTGCTTCCAAAAGTTCGGCCAACTTCACGCTTAAATCGTGACGTCATAATTTTTATTTAGCTTATAACTTTTTTTCCATATGGCGGTTAACCAAATTAATAACGGAATTTAAATACATTAATTAAGCACTAAATAATGGCGAAAACCGAATGTTTAGTACTACTCTAGTTTATGTTTTGGCACATCGCCAATATTTGTTTATTTTTGTTTTTTTCGCCAATAACTTTTTATTCTTAATTTCGGCTACAAAAGTGATTGAAGCACTAACCTCTACTAACTAAGCACTAAAAAATGATAGAAGTTTTATCGTTAGTGCTTTCCGTCAACTTTTAAGCGTGAAATTGGCACAAATTTTTATTTTTGCTTGTAACTTTTTTTCCCTTAAATTCGGCTACTATACGGATTGAAGCACTAATAAGCACTAACGAAGCACTAAAAAATGACATATGATTCATCGTTAGTGCTTCCAAATGTTCGGCCAACTTCACGGAGCTTTTAAAATACTATATATCTATTTAAAAAAAGAATAAAATTTAGAGGGTGTTGTGCATTTGCATTGTTTAAAAAAAAATATTTAGAAAATATTATAATAATGTAAAATAAATATACATAACATAAAATAACAAATAAAAAGACCGGATCGGTATTTTACAGGTATGGAACCGATCCGATATTTTTGGAAAACGCTAAATATCTGAGCCGATTCGATATTAAAATTCATCTTTTTACCTTGAAATGCTTTTTTAAGTCTGATCTGTTGGACATTGAGGTTGAAATAATTGTGTTGGGATTATAATTTACATTTACAAAGTGTAGACTTCCATTAATTTTCTTTATTGGTTTTAAATATATTTCAAATTGGGACCAGAGAAGGGTTAAATCATCATCTGAAGAAGTACTATGGACATAATATTCTTAAAATAAATTATAAGAATAATAATATCTTTATTAACATTTACTTTTGAATTTTGATTGAATATTAATTTTGACAGAAAATTTAACGAGAATTTAAAATAAATATAAAAGAAGTGGTTGATATGAATTAAAACTCGACTTAAATTATTAATATTAAGAATTAAAAAATAAATAAAATAATACAATAAAATATGTTTTGCGTTACCGTTACTCAAAAAAAAGAAATGCGTTACCGTTACTCGTTACCTCTAGAAGAAGATAACGAATGACGTTCCTTTTCTTCAAAAAAGTAACGTTAGTACGACATTACTTTTTTGACGTTACTTCACAGCACTAGCAGGAAGTAATTTGTAATTATTATCTATAATTTATCTTAATATTTTAATTAATAAAAATCTCGCTAACATTGACTGACTTACCATGTTCAATAAGAGGTTGAGAAGAATGATCACGGGAACTGACGAGTTCACCAACACTAGCGTCTTTTTACCGAGGAATAATATTGTTCGTTATTTTTTCATTTAATGGTTAAGGAGTGAATGGATATTTTATAGCCAATATTTTTATAAGTATTTTTTTGTTTGTCCAATTAATTTGGCTAAATAAAATTTTAACTATAATTTTTCTGTGAATCTTCTCTTCTCTTCTCTTCTCTTCTCTTCTCTTCTCTTCTCTTCTCTTCTCTTCTCTTCTCTTCTCTTCTCTTCTCTTCTCTTCTCTTCTCTTCTCTTCTCTCTCTCTTCTCTTCTCTTCTCTTCTCTTCTCTTCTTCTTCTCTTCTCTCTCTCTCTTCTCTTCTCTTCTCTTCTCTTCTCTTCTCTTCTCTTCTCTTCTCTTCTCTTCTCTTCTCTTCTCTTCTCTTCTCTTCTCTTCTCTTTTCATTTAGATTTAATTGTTATTGGCTTATTATAATTCAATAACTAATATTTTTTAAAATTTGGTGCCCCTGCCCATTTATGGGGGCCGAAAATTTTTATCAATGGGCCACTGGGGGCGAATGGGGGAGTAAATTTTACTTGGCTCTCTAATCATCCACACTATTCAAAAGTTCTGTTATTTTCTTTACATACTAAAATTGGCATGTTTATCCCTTTTTTAAAAATTTGTTTTAGGGTAAGTAATTTTTCCAGGAGAAAACAAGTGTCCTCTTGGTAAAGAGTATAAAAAAAAGGTTATCATCAGAGATCGAAAATTTAAAAGCACAAAATGAGTGACCGATTACTCCTCAAATTACTACTGTGAAGAGTGATACCAAAGCAATTATAATAAAAAAATTAAATAATCGAAATATTTAGAAAAAAAATTTACTGTCTAAAAAAATCCTTTTTATCATTTTTCAAAATATATGATTTGATATGGCGGTATTGATACTTTAATAGCGGTGGCATAAAAAATTAGTCAAAGATACTTGTGATATATTTGGAAAATTTGATACCAATATAAGATAGAATATTTGTAAATGGAAAACGGTTACAATAGCTGATTTTTAACCTGCAGGCCTAAAGCCCGGCTCGGGTACACGGGCCATGACATTTTTTATATTTTTTAAATATGCCCGGCCCGGGTCAGCCCTGAAAATATAAAACTCGGGCCGAATAAAATTTTTGAAAAAAAATTTAGGTAGGGCCGTGTAAATGGCAGAGTTGTTAAACGCTATTTTTAAAAGTAGCGCGCTACCGCTATAGCTATTTGTCAAAAAAAGTAGCGCGCTATTAGCTACTTTTTTTCAAAAGTAGCTTTAGCTACTTTTTATAAAAAAAAATTTAGAAACAAATGAAACAAATTTTTTTTATTTTTTTTTTGCTTATAATGTAAATGTATAATAAATAATATATAAAAATCAACATTTATAAATATAAAAATATAGTTAGTTTAGATTATAAAAAAATAAGCAATATAAATAAATATTTGATTTGGAAATGAATCATTATTAATTAGAATTACTTCTGTATACTCTTTTATAAATGTATGCTCTTCATCGTTAATATATTCAATTTCAACAAGATCACAGAGATAATTAATCTCTAATCTTCTTTCCTCCAGAAAAAAAGCGATTAGTTTTATTGCTTGGTATACAGAATTCCATCTTGTACGATTAGGGGTTAATAAATACCTCCCTAATTTTTTTTTAAACATGTCAGAACTTTTAGGAGATTTATTCTGCTTATTCCATAAAGTTTGACATTTATAAAATGTCGATCTTGACACCCTTTTAAAATCTTCATCATTTAAAGCTTCTTCAGCATCTACTGTTGCTATCAAATTAAAATTATGACAGGAGCATCTCTGATGGCTGGGTAACATTGTGGAGTTAGTTGAAGATCCTATAGAATATTGATTAGATTAACATGTATTATAAAATAATTTAAACCTTCTTCTAAGATCTCATTAATATCATTGGTATCAACACCTATTTCCTCCTCTTCCAATACATGTTGACTATCATTCTGTATCTCATCTTCAGCATTATCCTCACAAATATTCTATATTCATATTAAATATGACAAATTAAATTATTCATCCAGTTTTAATAGAAATGTCTAGTAATATTTATCAAAAATGGTGTGGAAAAATCATTTCTTAGTATTCTAAATTTTGAACCTCAGGAATTATAATGAAACTAAGCAAAAGTATTTTATCAAATGAATACATTGAATGAATTCCCTGTACTGTATATAAATTGATGGCAATTAATCAATAAGAAATAAATATAGTAAAAATCTAATCATCCATGAAATATTCAATAACCATATCTTATTAAATGTTAGATTAGCTCAATGACACTGTACAATAAAAATTAATGAAATAATCCACCTCTGTTTTATATTTTATTAGTTAATTTCACTAATTTTATTTATAATTTGATATAAATTATGATAATCATAATATTACTAAAATATGTGTGTATTTAGTTAATAAAAATTCTATAAATAATGTGAAATATTAAAATACTAAATATTTTATAGATTAAATAATAACCATTCCATTCTGATTAATTTACTGCCCAAAAAATCATAACTTAAAATAAATATTATAAATAAATTTGTGATATAACCTAAATGCCTTCAGGTAATTAGACCCATTATCAGTAACCATCTTGTAAACTTTATTATGAATCCTAAAAGACTTGTGGATGTCAATAATTTTATTTGCAAGTACGTCATATGTCTGGCATCCTATAATCTTTTTAAGGGCTAAGGCTACAGATCTTCTTTTTAAAGTCATAGGGTCTAACCAATGGCCTGTGATTCCCAAATAAGTTCTATAAATATTTAATCAGATCAATTTATAAATATAAATAAGTTTTTACCTTCTGTTATGTGTCCAACTATCTGCCGTGGTACATACATAAGATATATCTGATAACTCTACTATTAGAGCATCTTTCATCACTTTGAAGTTGTCGGCTATTTTATTCATTTATGTCTGGCGACATTAAACTGTTGTGCCAGCGGATAAAGTTTTAATCATCATAGTAAATGATGGATTATCAACCAATGGCTGAACTGTGTCAATAATAAAATCAACAATTACTTTATCAGCCAATTTTTGTGAAATATTGGCATATTTATTATCAGTTAATTTGGTTTGGATAGTATTTGTCTTTTTGAATGAAGATTCTCCTATACCAAATTTTTTTTATATGTTTCTCTATTTCCTTATAGCAATTGGCGTGAACAGTCTAATAAAATAAATAATATTATAATGTAAAAATAACAATTTACCTTTAAGTGTTTCTTCAGGTTATAGCTGCTCGATTGATTTGATGATATATTTTTTTTACATTTTAAGCACAGGAATTTGAATCCAGATTTTGTTTTAATATTTATTTTAAAAAATTTTTCAAATTAGGGAATGGGAAATCGTTATTAGAGCTATTAAGTACATTTTCTTCCATTGAATCTTCCATGTCCGAATCACTTTCAAGGATTTGGTTATCCATGGGCGATGCCATTTTAGATTATTAACACAGATTGAAAATACAAATTAAAAATTGAAAATATATTTAAATTTCAAAATTAAATAATATATAAAAATTATAATTAATTATGATATTATATTTAAATTATCATGTTTATACTTACATTCATTATATTTTTTTAAAGTAGCGAAGTAGCGCGCTACTTAGCCACTTTTTAAAAAAGTAGCGAAGTAGCGCGCTACTTAGCCACTTTTTAAAAAAGTAGCGCGCTAAAAAATTAAATATTTAAAAAAAAGTAGCGGCTATTAGCTATAGCTACCAAAAAAGATAGCGCGCTACTTTAACAACTCTGGTAAATGGTACCTCTGGTATTTGCCTCAAGCTCTGTTGAGCGATTGTTCAATAAAATAATATTAATATCAAGTGCCCTTTACAATTGAAATCCGAAAAGATTAAATGTCAATCCCATACCAATTATAGCCTCTTTGGGAGGCGTCTTTTTTAAATTTTTTGTGCATTAAATATTGTTAATTCAAAAATAAATTTTTTACTCACTTTTTTAAAAAAGATGAAATTTCCTATTTTATAGAATTTGAAATGGATTTTATCAATTTGAAATGAAAGCAAATTTTCGTATCAATATAAATGTATTTAATCATATTTTTTTATTCCCCCTCTGTCTACACCATTGACTAGAGTACTTTTTCAAAGTTGGACCGGTAAAAAAAGCCAAATAGATTTTTAAATAGTGTATTTTTGCAACATCACACCGGACTTAAAAATGAAAAATTTTAGAATTTTGACTTTTGCAGGTCTGTAAAATATTAATAATTCTTTGCAAAGTTAAAAAAATGATATTTTGCTATTTCCACATGACATATAAAAAACGTTGCCTTTCAGCAGGAATGAGCTGGTTTGTTTAAAAATTTGAGCTGCGGGATTAATTTTTTTCGCCAGCATGATGAGGCGGGAACTGAATAAATTATTATGCCTGCCCCCCCCCCCACATCTAATTACAACAACGTTTCACAAAATCAATTAAAAAAATTTTGATCTCGTAAAGAGCTCAAACAGGATTTTTGATCAAATTTTGCTTAAATTCAAATTTTATAAATATTATTTACGATTTTTGTAATTACAATTTTTTAAAAAGAAAATCTTTATCTTCAAAAAAAATATTCAGTTTTTTTGAAAGATTTTTGCTTAAAATTTTGGGGAAAAAATTAACCATAAAATTTTTATTTTAAATTTTTTGCATATCATTATTTTCTCAAAGTACTTGTAGGAATATCAGAATTGGAAACCATTAACATTTAATTCCCAATTTAAAGCGAATTATTATTATTTTTTTTAAATGTCTTCGAAAATTAAAGAACTTTTTAAATTTGATAAACGAAAATAGTGTATATTTATGGTATTTCAAGATCGCTAATAAAGAACGTTAAATTACAAGTCTGCAACGGGCGGGTTATTATTAAACGGAATGTCGGGCGGGTAAGTTTTTACTTTTTTCATCATTAAATATGAAAATTTTATTAACTAAGATCATTTTTATTATAAATTAAAATATAAGGCTGTGTCCTAAATAAACAAAAGTTTTAAGAAATGCACAACCTTTGTGAGTTTTTAGAGATACTAAACATGTCCCGAATCTTCCATTAAATTTTCAAAAGTATTGTTAAATTCTCCATTTCTATATTCAATTTTAAGTCGCTATTACCACAGAAATTTGTATTTTATCATATTCATTTGCCATTTTTCTCGTAAATATTTTACAAATGATAAGATTTTAATGATAAAATGATTAAATATTCACGATTTGTAAAACTTTTAAGAATCACAAAACATTCGCGGATTATAAAAAATTATTTAGGCCAATATTTTAATTTTACATTAAAAATGGTTTATATATTTGTTTTTCACTAAATTCGCGTAATTTTCGAGATTTAATTTTTAATTAAAATTCTTGCGAAATTCAATCAGAATCACACTATTATTTTTAATCTTACATAATTTATTCATTTACGTAATTTCCATTTCCTAGTTCTAAATTAACACTTTGTGACTACTTAAATATTATAACAATTCATATTCTGATTCTAAAGATATGTCTCTTTAATATTTTCATTATTATTATATATAAATTAAATTAAATGTCATATATTCGGTTTTGCAACTTTATTTGACAATTTAGGTGGCAATTTGTGAATAAATATACACAAATTCTAATTCTAAAATAATTTGAATCTTTGGGCTCCATGCGCTTGCGAGGCGGGGAGGGGGCAGGGGGACAATCCCTATCCCAACCAAAAATTTCAGATGCCGGCTAAAATATTTTTCTAAAATATTTTTCAAAAATATTACTAATTTCTATCTCTTTTCGCATATGTATTCCAATTTACATCACATTTACAGCAGAAATAAATACGCTACTAATTTATTCTATCAATTAAAATTTCTAATTTTCCTTGGTTCTCACCTTTTCATTTGAATTTTTTCACTGATCTAGTCAAAACTATGAGAATAGCTCAATTGAAACTTAAGGAAATTAGGGAAAATGTAATAAAATATGTCATTGTTGAGCCAAAAGCAAGTTCTATGAATTTAATATTTGTCTAGCAGCAAGGCAAGCCTATCGCTCCAATATTAAAATAGGGTTAGTAGTTATAAAATAAATCTCCTTATTTCCATCTTGGATACCTCAAATGAATTAAAGTTTCTTGGTTAATAAGGCAGCACTTACAAATCTGCAGATATTATTACCTCAGAATCCTTCCGAATCTATTTCAAAATTTGATAGAAATTTTTTAAAATATTTGACAGATTTTTGAGTATGTTAAGGTATCCCATGATACATTACTAGCTTTAAACTATAGTATGAAAGGTTAAATATGATTTAAAATGTTCTAAAAAATCTAGACTATTTTCCTAATATATCAAAATCATTACCATTTTCTTCTCTAACGGATAAATACATATAGGAGAATTAGTGTTGTAAATAGCTAAAGTTTGTTAGAAAAATATTGCCTAAGCAGCGAGATTTCGCTAATGGATGTCCAAACATTTGTGCCATCTATGAGCAAAATCTTATGACTTGTGTAATATTTTTCTGGATGAAATATTGCTCTAAGTCTCGAGTTTTCGCTAAGAAATCTCTAAAATTTTGTACCATCTATGAGCAAAATCTTTAGGCTTGCATAATATTTTTCTGGATAAAATAATAAGTTTGTCATTAAGTTGTTCAAATTGACCCCTTTAAAAACACTACTGAGAAGTTCTATCTCTGAAAACAGATTGAGCTGTTAGCCCTTTTTAATACATAGGAAATTGATACCAAGCAATGATCGATCTTTGGAAAATTAGCTTATCCTAAAGAAGATTGAATTTTACATTATAAATTTATCACATATATCTTAATTCTATTTTTTCACATTTTTTAATACACCATATTTTTTCCATGAATAATTTGAAAGTTTTTATAGTTGCAATAATTCTTAAGAATATTTTTTACAAAGATATAATATACATTTAATATTTTATTATTAATTTATATTTAAATTTGTTTATTAAAAATTGTCAATATTTTAAATTTTCTGAAACTTAAAATATTCTTAAATAACTCTTAGAATAATTCTAAAAATTCCTGCTTACGCGGGCTAGGGTCGGACTCGTATAGCGAAATTTTTTTAAAGTCGGGACCATGAAAATTACTTTACAGGATTTTAGCTGCAGGCTAAGGATAATTAATGTACCAAGGTTCTTCATTTATAAACTCTTTATTGAAAACTTAAATACAGGGCCGTAGCCAGGGATTTTCACTTAGGGGTGCCAAGTGCTTACTGGGGGGAGCACTATTTTTTTAAAATCAAACAAATAATTACGCATTCATAGAAATTTTTTCCTATTTTTATTAAAAATTTAATAACAAAATAATACTATATATGAATATACAAAACAAAATAATACTATAATATGCATATACAAAACAAAATATTACTATAATAGAATACGGCGATTTTTATTTTTAAATTTTAATATAAATGAACTAAAAGATAAATTCTGCGTTATTCTTTTTTCATACGCCATTAATACGAAATTTTGTTTACGTTTATCCTTCATAGACTCTCTACTGCTCGATAAAACTCTCTTTAATGTAGAGAACGAGGCCTCACAAGAAGCCGTTGATATCCCAATGATTATCGCTGCTGAGTAGCATTTATATAATTCTTTAAATGCATGATTATATTTTTTTTTATACATAATATGTAAGATATTTTCAAAATTATGATTTTCTTTAGCTTCCGAAGCTAGCAATCCTTTTGCTATCTTCATTTCATGATGCAGTGTTTCCATATTTAAGTTTAACAGGGATTTTAATGGGGCCATTTTATCTGATAAAAAATAATCAGGGTCAAGGGGGGACAATGTATTAAAAGATGAAAAAAGATTAAAATCATCTTCTGTAAATCGATCTAAAAAACGATCCACAAAGTTATCTATAATTTCATAATATATCCTTTTTAAAGAATTCCAATTGGAGTCTTTTTCACAATTGAATTCTAGTTTGCTATCAACTAAAAAATCTTGGAAATTTTTAGCGTTTTACGTAGCCGTGATGATTTTTGGGGAGTAAGATTAAATTTTGATAAAAGTTTTTCAGCCTTAATCATAATCAAAGCAAAAGAATTATCACTTCTTTTATTTTTTAATATATTGATAGTAGAATCAATACAATTTTTAGCATCCACTAGATTAGTACCTACTGATTGTAGATACTTATTTAGTGGATCTATAGTAATTAATATCTCATAAATTATGATGGCTAATATAATGTAATTTATATTAATACATTGAGATAAAAGACCAGAAGCTTCGACTGAATCATGAATTAAAACCTCTGAATTAAGAGTTCTATTAGAAAAGTAAAATAATACTTTACCAATAGCCTCAAAATTCTCATAAATAATGCGAGATGTTTCCAAATGACCTGTCCACCTCTGGTCTAAAAGTCTCTTAAGGGTGTGGCCTGTATATTTACAGGATACGTTAAAACGCCTGAAAAAATTATACAATGCATTTGATAAATTTAAAAAATTAGAAATAATAACAATATTATTATACCAATTTTGAACCACAAGATGCAACTTGTGGTTGTAGCAATGTATAAAAGGAACATTTCTATTAATTTTTTTTTGAAGAAGTGTTTGCACTCCTCCATTTCGGCCAGACATAACGTTTGCACCATCATATGCCTGGCTTATTATATTAGCTGAATTAATATTTAGATCATTAAGTTGCTTTAAAATGCAATCTGTAATGCTTAATCAGCATAAAGACACTCTAAATTAATGATTCCTATTAAATTTTCTTGGATTTCTCCAGAAAAAATATAGCGAATTATTATGCTCAGGTTTTCACAACCTGAAGCATCTTTTGTCTCATCAGCCTTAAGACAAAAAAAAGGCATCCGCTTTTATTATATTTGTCTGAAATATGTTCAAGCACCATATCTGCCATAATGGATATTACTTCGTTTTGAATCTGTGGTGATGTATACTGGGCGTTTTGGGGTATCAATTTCATAATTTTATTTAATTCAGGGTCTTTTTGGATGGTGTAGGAAAACATTGCTATAAATAGCCCAGAAGAATAAATTATGCTTTCATCTTTTGCAGCATCCGTAATATTTGTTGAACCAGTCCCACGGAAAGGTAGCTCTTGTATGCTAAGAAATAGCATCAAATCAAATATTGATTTAATATAATATTGATTACGATTAATTTGATCACCCCCCCCCCCCAACATTTTAGTTATTTCTGTACCTTTGTTTATATTATGATTTTTATCATGCCATATTGTAATTGAATTTAAATGAGCTTTTGAGCTCTCGTGTTTTAGCAGTCCCTTCTTGGCAGCTAACGCATTTTTCCAATTTCTGAATCCCGTTTGTCCAAATTCATCACTTGGATTACACAAGTATTTCCTACATGGAAAACAAAAGGCAGCGCCAGCTTCTACACTATACTCCAACCAGTCTCGGCCTCTATACCATGATTTTTGAAATGATCTTTGCCCATGGATATCTTTTTTCGCGTAATTGTTTAATTTGATTTGGTTTATTCTGGCCAAGGTCACCTGGGATTTGAATTGAACCATTAGAGGACTTTTTTGGCACTAAAAATATTATAATTAATAAATTGTAATGAGGGAAAGGGTTATAAATAATAATGGTCATCAGGATGGGCGAAGGAAGGGCATGCTGAAAATGAACAAACACAAAATTTATCTTGTATTTAAGATACAAGTATTTGCTAACTGTAGTGCCCAACCCTGATGAAGATTATCAGTAAAGTTGATCAGTAAAATTATAGATATTCAGTATTAAAAACTAGAAAAAGGTCATAAACATTATATCTTTAAAGATTAACAAAAAAAAATAATATTTTGATATTTATAAATCAATTACTAGTTGCCTCTTGACAATGATAGACTGAGCTGCTAGATGAAGATGATTGAGTCTCTTCTTCGTCTTTATTTGTTTTAAAATCAAAATGTAATAATGAAACACCATAATCTCCTACTCCTATTGATATTGTCAAAAATATATAAATAGAAAAATTTGGGTTAAATTTTAAACTATTTACCATCTTCCTCCTCCTGAGTGTAGTGAGGATCATTTTCTAGATTATTAGTTTCATTCATATCTTGAAATATGAGTGAATATATTTATTTTAATAATTAAAATTATTATACAAAAATGATAATATTAATAATAAATGTCTGTTTCTTATCTTATATAAAATAAATATATATGAAATAATAATATATAGGTATTGCCCTATATCAATATCGTATAAGTCATGAAATAATAATATAAATTTATACTAACTATGAGAAGAATAAGTTTCTGAAATTTCTGATGTAGTATTACTAGTAGTTTGTAGAGATGATGTTGTTTGACATTTGTTTAACTTTAACTTAAAATAAGAGTTAATAACTGATTGTTTCTTCTTTTAAAATAAACGCTGTAAAATAAAATAACTGGTTATATATTATAATATAAATGTGATACCTATAGAGAATGTTATACACAACAAAAAAAAATGAAAAAAAAATGAATGAATGATAATTTAATATTGGGTAAAAATAAAACAGGATAGAAAAAAATTTACAAACTAGACATGTTTGTAGAATAAATATTCAAAATTTATTTTAAAAATATAGAAATAATCAATTCTAAATAGACATGTTTTTTGAATATTTTTGAATAAATATTCAAAATTAATATTAAAAATATAAAAATAATCAACTCTAAAAAAAATTTTCAAATTGGGGGGGGGGCAAAAAAATTTTTGGGGGCCACTTTTGAGGGCCAAAGATTTTTTCTGGAAACCAGCCGTTGCAATTTGCAGATCTAGATTATTGGATTGCAAATATTTTAAAACGGCGTTACTATTTTTAATAGATCATATTAACAATGTGAAGTTGCGAGGCTTAAGTTAAGGGTAGTATAGTAGGTGACACCTCACCAGTTCATCAGGGGCGGACAGGGAGACTAAAGGCCCCGTGGGAGATTTCTAAGAGAGGCCCCATAGTTGGGGGCTTCGCCCTCTAACCCCCCTTCGCAGGCCTACGGCCCGCTTTTACCCAGCCTGCACATTTGAAATCTACTGCACTATGTTAAAATTTAAAATAATTTTTATCTTTTTAATATTTATGTATGATCCATTTAAAAGAATTACTCTTACTTTGAGTTGAATTTAATTTATGAACTTTTGTGATTATTTTAAGGTTAAATTTCCATCAAGGTTAGCTTAACAATTTTCTCATTAATGGTGAACATTTGCGCAGATATTCATGAACTCACTTAATTTTATTTCTTCTAATAATATCCATTCTACCATCACAAAAGGCTTCTAAATAATCCTGTCCAATATTTGCTCGCAGTCTATTTTTAATTTTCTAAAGGTTTGTTCACACTTGTGAAAAAGATAAAGTGAGTAGATATTCATATACTATATATAAATGTGTTTATGCAGATCTATGCATATTACATCGGCATAACGTCTCATATACACATATCAAACATTGTTTGCATTTTAAATTGCATTTTGTTAAAAAATCTCCATTGCAACTTTTTTTCATAGAGACATGTAATCACTATCATAGATGAAATTTTCTGTGAGTAAATTGCTATATATTCTAGAGAATGAAATTAGTTCTTCTCGCAGTTTATCCCTATCTACCTTGCTAACGAAGAGATTCTTTTCAAAGAATCGTTAATTATACCTTCCCTGTTAATTTCATCAAAACTTCTAGGATGGAAATATTGAGCATCAATTATTAAATGTTGATTTTTCGAAAATCTTTCTGTAAAACTAGTTACTATCTTATCAATGATATCGCGAAACACTTCAATTCTGTAAATTTTAATAGAGTCATTAGGACGTTCATCTAAGCATTCCTCAAAACACATCTTCTTTACGACTAATTCTACACTGCGGTATTTCAGTTTCCACGCACATGTTGATTGATAATGCCATATTTGTAGGTTCCATATGTATTGGGAGGAAATTTATAGAATTTAAAGAAAATCTAGAATCTTCAACCATTTTCCAGGCAGTCAAAATATCTGTTTTTTGTTTGTAAATATCTTGATAGAGGCCCAATTATTTCAAAAATATTTGTGCCGTTAGGAGTGTTTTAAATTTGCATAACTTTTCTAATAAAGCCTCGGATTCTTAATGCATCAAAAGAATGTTTGTTATATATATAATGTAAGGCACTTATTGTAGTAGATATTAGCGCATCTTTTTTATTAACATTCAGAAAAACTGCTTTCTCGCGTGCCCACCAATTGTTTCCCCAATTTTTTGAAGCCTTTTTAATTTTTTTAAACCAATAAGCGGTCACACTTGCATTCGTCCAAGCTTCCATTCTTTTATATGATTCATGAAAAAATGTCGCAAGCCTATTTAGTAATCCAAATAGATTTTTTTGCCTCGAGATTACCACAAGATTCTACATTATATTATTTAATTGTAGCCCTTGTTTATAGAAACAAAAACTTAATAAATCAAAAAGTCCTTTATCTGATAATGATGGATTATTTTTTTAATATGTGATTTATGTGGACTTTTTATGGTATGAATTACAATGTCGGGCAGCGTTGTATTATTGCTTTTTTTGTAGCATAAAGGAGAGTCTAAAGAAATTTCAAGAATTGAATATGTTTCTGATAAGTTTGTAATTATATTGAAAAAAGTCAACTTTTGCTGTTTTGGATTTTCACCAGCTATCTTTAGTTCTTTGCAAGATTTATCATAAAGTTTTCTGCTGCCCTTTTGTATTTTCTTTTTTTTATTATATATTTTTATGCAATGATAAATATAAAAAATATAGATTTTAATTTAAAATTGGAATTTATTTAATAAAACTGCTGTCAAGGTTATCTATATATTTTCTATTTATATTAAATGATCTATGTCAGATAAAATGTTGATGTTATGTTTGAATTATAAGATCATTAATAATCAATATATTTTAGGTAAAAATTCCACTCTAGTCCAGAAAAATCCTTAAACATTTACATTGGATTATGTTTGTGAAACAAATATGACTCATTTTAGTTGGGGAGGAGGGGCATAAATTTTCTTAATACTTATACTTAGATCTGGGTTAGAATAGTTAATTTCATTTTAAATTAAGATAAATAAATAAAATGATATGGATATGAAAAAACATAAATTATTTTTATGGTGTTTATATTTACTTGTGTTATTTATTATTTTCATTTTGGTCCATTTTCAATGTGTTTTATATATATAAACATAAACTTTAAATAAAATGAATGATTTTTTTTATAGTGCTTTTAATAGGTTTAGATAATTAAATTAATAATTATTTAAATTTCTAATTTTTTTTTAAAAAAATTTGTATTTAAACATATTTATATTTTATGCCAATTTAATTAAAAAAAAATTTCTTTACTAAGGAGGCCTCTAAATTTGTAACTCGAGGCCCCGTGGGAGATTTTCCCACTAGGATTACTGACCAGTCCGCCCCTGTAGTCTATCCATGGGATCGAGTATGAGTCATAGATTATTTAAGAAAACTAAAACGCTCTAATACACTATAAAGACAAGTAAAACTTTTTTATTAAAAAAAATAAATTAATTATAACAATTTATGAACCAAAAATATATTGTCTATAGCAGAGTTGTTAAACGCTACTTTTAAAAGTAGCGCGCTACCGCTATTTGTCAAAAAAGTAGCTCGCTATTAGCTACTATTTTTTAAAAGTAGCTTTAGCTACTTTTTATAAAAAATATTTACAAACAAATTTTTTATTTTTTGCTTATAATGTTATTGTATAGTAAATATATAAAAATCAACATTTATAAATATTAAAATATAGTTAGTTTTGATTATAAAAAAATTTTATGTAATAAAAATAAATATTTATGGTAATTTGTTGCATTTTAATAATAAAATCATTTCAATATTATCATCCCCAAGTCTAGAGCGACGATCAGAAAGTATAAGTTTTGCCTTTTTAAATCTCTCGACACTAGAACTTGAGGGTAAGGACGTATTTAATCTTATATACATATTTTTAATATAAGACAGATTATCAATAATTTTATCTGCAAGTACATCGTATGTCTGGCATTCTATTATCATTTTGAGGGCTAATACCACAGATCTTCTTTTTAAAGTTCTGGGGTCTAGCCAATGACCTAAATATAAATAAGTTTTAACCTTCTGTTATGTGTTCAACTATCTCCCGTGGTACATATATATGATATCTCTGATAACTCTACTATTAAAGCATCTTTCATCATTTTAAAGTTATCTACTATAAGTGTCTGGCGGCATAAAATTGTTGTACCAGGGAAATAGAGTTTTAATTATCATGGTAAATGATGGATTATCAACTAAGGACATTGGCTGAAATTATAAAATCAACAATAACTTTATCAGCCAATTTCTGAGAAATATTGTCATTTGCATTATTAATTAATTTGGTTTGAATTGAATTAGTCTTTTTGGATGTAGAGTCGCCTATACCAAAAATATTTAGATGTTTCTCCATTTCCTTAAAACTCATGAACAGTCTTATAAAATAAATATTATTAGAATGTAAAAATGACAATTTACCTTTAAATGTTTCTTGAGGTTATAGCTACTGGATTGATTTGGGGAAATATTTTTTTTTACATTTTAAACAAATAAATTTGAAACCAGTTTTGGTTATATATTTATTTAAAAAAAATTTCAAATCTAGGGAGTGGGAAATTTGTATTATAGCTATTAAGAACATTTTCTTCCCTTGGTATCTTCCATTTCATTAATATCATTGTCTGAATCACTTTCAACGATTTGGATATCCATAGGCGATGACATTTTAAATTAACACGTGATTTAGGTTTATAATACAAATTAAAATATAAATTACAAATCGAAATTATATTTTAAATTCAAAATTAAATAATAAATAATAAAAATTATAATTAATTATGATATTATATTTAAAATATCATGTTTATACTTACCTTCATTATATTTTTTAAAAGTAGCGAAGTAGCGGCTAATTAGCTATTTTCAAAAAAAGTAGCGCGCTAAAAAATTAAATAATTACAAAAAAGTAGCCGCTATTAGCTATAGCTACCAAAAAAGTTAGCGCGTTTAAAAACTCTGGTCTATAGTAATAATATGATTTTTTGTAACACATTTTCATAATGTGAAAAAACATTCTTATATAGTTAAATAACTTTCCATAATTATTGTAAAAACATTTTGATAAAATTTAAAAAAAATTTTGATATAATATTTTTTAAATTTTTTTTAATAATAAGAGTTTTTAAACTTTAATGAAAATTAACGTCAAAGTTATGATTCGAATATAATTTTTTTATGTTTTGGACCCAAGTTTAAGTGGGAAAATGAGAATAAAAATTTTCTAAGATTTTTAAAATAATTTTTTTTTTAAATGCATTGTAAATTTTTTAAATTTAAAGTATTATTACAATACAATATATTGATGTTACTTTTAGTTATCTAAAGAATGGAAATCAGGATAAGAAATTTGATAATTTCTTAATAAACATAAGTGAAAGAAAATTCGAATTTAGGGTTTTCAGATAATTCTTATTTTTTTATATTTTTTTTTTGGTTTTAAAATTAAATAAAATTTAATTGTTGTAGTTGCTTTTATTAACCTAAAATGACGCATTCCAAAAATCATCGAGATGTGCCATCAACCATTCTACCCATAACGGAAGCCCCGACACTTCAATTTAACTTTCCGTAATTATTGTAAAAACTTGTTGAGAAAAATGCATCCTTTTTTTAAAAAACTTATAAAAACTTGAAAGAAAATTTTGAGAAAAACATTATATTTTAAAAAACTTCCGGTAACCTATGCACAATAGGAATAAGTGGATTGAAAAAATTCACAATAATAGATGGGGCTTTTACTGCGATAAAATTCAAGGCATACCTGGATGAATTATTCGCACTTTTACCATCAAATCCATTACTTATAATGGATAATGCTCCTAAACATCGAGCGAGGATAATTTGTGAGAATTATCCAAATATCATATTTTTGCCACCCTATTCGCCGCAATTAAATCCGATAGAAATTTTTTTCGGAGTAATTAAAAATCAATATAGATCAAATTCTCCTAAACCCAATAACCGAAATGAAGTTATTTCAATTGTTACGAGTAATTTAGGCAATTATTTTACATATAATTTTTTAAATTTTTATTCTCACATCATAAAGTTTATTGAAGAGAGAATTCGATGCATTCCTTTAAATGATTGCATTTGTAATTGATTTATATTGTGTAATATTTTATTAACAAAGAATAAATAAATAATAAATGGTTTTTTATATTTTGGTGTTTCGAATTCATCATAAAAAATTCTAAACAAATAAGAATTATCTGAAAACCCTAAATTCGAGTTTTCACTTATATTTATTTAAGAAATTATTCAAATTTCTTATCCTGATTTCCATTCTTTGGATAACTAAAAGTAAAATTAAAATATTGTAATAATGCTTTAAATTTAAAAAAGGTATTGTAAAAATCTTAGAATTTTTTTTTATATAATATCTTTTAAAATTCTAATTTTTCCACTTAAACTTATGTCCATAACATAAAAAAAACTATATTCGATTCATAACTTTGACGTTAGTCTTCACTAAAGTTTCAAAACTTTATTATTAAAATATTTTTTTTGAATTCTCATTTTTCCACTTAAACTTGTGTCCAAAAAAAACTATTTGATTCATAACTTTGATGTTAGTCTTCATTAAAGTTTAAAAACTTTTAAAAATTTAAAATAAAAAATTTAATTTATATTAAAATACTTTTTACAAAAATTATGGAAAGTTATTTAACTATATAAGAATGTTTTTTCACATTATGAAAATGTGTTACAACAAATCATATTATTACTGTATTTAAATATAAAAATTAGTCCCTTTTATGGGGAAAATAAAAGCTCAATAATTGGGGATAAAACCTACCCTCCCCCCTATACTTTTCCGAACTCAAATTATAACTTTGGATTCAGGGCGATCTCCTGGACCTTAATATCTAATTTATATTTATTGAACACCTTATTAAGGAATCCAAAAGTATGAACTACCTATGATTAAAAGAAAACACAAAAACCATATGTTTTACTTTTAATGTGATTAAATCAAACAAAAGAGAGACATAAAAAAAACTTTATTTAATTTTTATGTACTTAAGGCAAAACAAAAGAGGGATAAAGAAAACTATTTTTAATTGATGTGTACTTAAGGATAAGCAAAAGAAGGATAAAAAAGCTATATTATATCAGTAAATATTCAAATAAAGTAACCCATGATCGGAAAAAAAAAATAAAATAAAATATGGAATAACATATTTAACATTTTGAAACATCAAAATACAGTCCTACATATATTTTTTTTAAAAACTTTATCACAAATTTTTTTTAAGCATAACAAACGAAAATCGCGAATCCTTATTTCCTAAACAAAAACTTCAACTGGAAATTTTTAAACACAATTATACTTGTTTTTTGGGTACATTTTCATTATTAAATTAAGCTCTTTTTAGAGCCTTCGATACTATTTATACATATTTTTATTTAGTAATTTTATATATTTTTACATATTTTTATATAGTTGTTTGAATATTTTAGTGTTTTATCCAGGGATTCGAACCGAACCCGAACCCGGAGAAGTGAACCCGGGTTTTTAGAAAAAAACTCTGAACCCGAACCGAACCTGAACCCCATTTATAAAATTTTCAAAACCCCGAACCGAACCCAAGAATTTTATTTGAACCCGGGTTCAACCGGGTTCAGTGTATTATTTAAAATCATATATTAATATATGTAAATACAAATATTATATTTTCAAATTTCCAATTAAATGAAGTGTTAATAAATTTTAAGCAACTTAATTCATTTATGCCATTTTTAAATTTATTCTCGATTCCTATTGGAGTGTTAAAAAATTTTAAACAATTGAATTAATTTACGCCATTTATTTTTAAATTTTTATCTTATTATTCTTAAAGATTATTAATTAGAAGAAAATGGTTAACAAATCAAAGTAAAAATTATTATATTGTTAATTTAAAAAATTCTAAACATCTAACTTAAAAATTGTTAAATGTAGGGCAGTTTTTGTGAACTTATTAAAATGATTTTAAAATTTATATATGCTAATCATTTATTTTTGGTTCAGTTTAATTTTTACAAGATATTAATGAAGTGCATATTGTAAATGAAATTAAATTTATAAATATCTCTTTTTTAATTCTGAAATCATTGCTATTTAAAAAAATTGTTCTCTTTTTATAGATTTAAGATTAAAGATAAAGTCATATTTGATAATCATTTTACCCTTAATACAATAGAAAAAAAATCAATATGTTCATATTGCAAAGTAAAAATGTCTGGTAATCACTTGTCAAATTTAGAAAGACACCTGGAAAGAAATCACAACAATGAATATTTAAATTATTTAAATGAAAAAACCAAATATCAGGAATTGTTATTGGCAAAAAAACCTAAAATTAATATAGAAACCTTTTTTCCAAAAAAGCATATAAGTATAAATATATCATCTAATGATTTGATGAGTTCTATACTAGAACTTGTTACTGTAAATGGCCGGCCTTTATCAATTATTGAAGATTCGGGATTTCAAAGAATTATAAATCCACTCCTATCTGGGCTCAATTTAGTTATAAACAAAGAAAATTTATCCAGAACTATTAATAAAACAGCCCAATCAATTAGAGACAAAATATCGAGAGAGGTAGAAGGAAAATTAATAAGTTTAAAAGTTGATGCAGTTCGACTAGATAGGTCAATTCTTGGTGTAAATATTCAATTTATATCAAAGTCCATTATAAATTTGAGGACTCTTGGAATTGTAGAGCTGAAAGAGAGATGTACAGGAGAATATAAGAGAATATATTAAAAACTTTACTAAAATTTAAAATTAATATTGAACAAATATACACAATTACTTCTGATAATGGTTGTAATTTTTTAAGAGCTATAAAGCTCCTGCAACCTGAAACTGATTATGATATAAGGAGTGAATCAGCAGATGAGGAAAATATGGATGTAAATGTATATAAATATGATATTGATGATATACAAAATACTTTTTTATCAACTATTATATCATATCCGATTTATAGTGTACGGTGTGCAGCTCATACACTTCAGCTGGCACTTCAAGATGCTATAAAATTATCACCTATTATGGAAACCATTGCAAAAGCTAGGAGCCTAAATTTAAAATTAAGACATCCCACTTACCAAAAGTTATTAAAAAATATGAAACTCCCTAAGCCTGTGTTAAGCTGCCACAGATGGCATTCAACCCATGATATGTTAGAAAGGCTGATTTTACTAAAACCCAATATCGAAGATTTTTTTACAGAGCAATCTGATTATTTATTGACTGAAGATTGGAAAGAGATAATAACGATTGTTGAAATTTTAAAACCGCTAAAAATCGCAACCAAACAATTCCAATCTGAACAGTTAACACTGACAGATTTTTATGCAGCATGGTTAAGATGCTGCATCGAACTGGAAAAAAATCCAAACCATTTTGCTCAATTACTATATTCTTGTCTTAAGAACAGAGAAGAAAGGTTTATAAAGAACGAAATTCTCTTAGCTGCCATATACCTGGACCCAAGAATTAAAAGCTTAGTAAATTAATTATTTTAGATTTATATTAAAATTGTTATTTTATGAAATATTTAAATATAAACAATAATCCTTAAATATTACAGGTATTACTTAGTGATGATGATAAGATTTGTGCGAAAAAACATCTTGTCAATTTATGGAGACGAATTAAAAGCTTAACAACGCCGATTTTATCTGATGATATTAGTTCCGATGAAGTTATTGAACAAGAAGAGGATTTAGAGAAATTGATACAACTTAAAGAAAGGCAGGAGAAAATACTTAAAAGAGGGCCAACGATTGCTGAGAAAAGTATTGGAACAATAATTACTGGATTTAGCGATTATAAAAGATTAGATAAGAAGGAAAATATTTTGCATTTTTGGGCCCTGAATTATATATTTTATCTAAAATCTTATTTGCTGTTCCTGCAACCCAAGGTAATTTTTCATATTTTCACATATAAATACATTTAACATAGGTTGGCGTTGAAAGATCTTTTTCACATTTGAAATTCATTCTTTCACCACATAGATCGAGGATGAGTAAACAACTCTTGGAAGATATTATGCTAATATGTCTAAATAAAATTTTTAAAATTGATACATGACTATATGCTTTGTATTTTTAACTATATTTGCCTATAAATAAAATAAAAAATTTATTTTTTATATCAAATTTATGTCTAGTTTTTTATTATGATTTAAATATAGAATTTTTTTTATCAACTCAAAAATTCTTGAACCCAACCGAACCCGAACCAAACCCGGGTTCAAAAATATTTCCCTGAACCCGAACCGAACCCACCTTTTTTTTTATACCCCGAACCGAACCCGGGCAAAAATTTTGTCGGGTTCGCATCCCTGGTTTTATCATTTTTTTAAAATTATACCAATCAATATCAGAGACCTGCAGAGGTACCATTTGCACGGCCCGGCCCGGTTTTAAATTTTTAGGCCCGGCCCGGATTTAAAAATTTCAGGCCCGGCTCGGAATTTTTAAAAATGACCTGGTATATACAAAAATTCACCTATGAGGTATTTTACCATATTTTTCAGCGAGTATTATCGCTTATTATTTAAAAAATGCATGTAAAAAGCTAATATTTTGAGAATATTATATTGAATTTATAAAAATTATAAAACAGTTATTTATAAAAATGGATATTTTGAGCATACTATATTTTATATTGCATTTATAAAAATAAAACTAATATTCATAAAAATGGTAATAATATTTGTCATATACTATATTTTATATTACATTTAAAAAAAATAAAACTAATATTTAATTTATAAAAATGGAAAATATTTTGAGAATATAATATATTGTATTTAACAGAGTTGTTAAACGCTATTTTTAAAAGTAGCGCGCTACCGTAATAGCTATTTGTCAAAAAAAGTAGCGCGCTACCGCTTTCGCTATTTGTGAAAAAAAGTAGCGCGCTATTAGCTACTTTTTCAAAATAGCTTTAGCTACTTTTTATAAAAAAAAATTTAGAAACAAATGAAACAAATTTTTTTAATTTTTTTTTTGCTTATAATGTAAATGTATAATAAATAATATATAAAAATCAACATTTATAAATATAAAAATATAGTTAGTTTAGATTATAAAAAAATAAGCAATATAAATAAATATTTATTTTAATTTGTTGCATTTTAATAATAATATCATTTCAATATTATCATCCCCAAGTCTAGAACGACGATCAGAAAGTATAAGCTTTGCTTTACTAAATAATCTCTCGACACTAGCACTTGAGGGCAAGGGGGTATTAAATTTTATATATAAATTTTTAATATATGAAAAATTATCAAAAATATTCATTTCAATATTTTTTGTTTGAAAAAAAAGATCAATTGGATTTTCTATTAAATCATCTTTAATTTCAAAAAAATTATTTGAGGATATCTTCGTGGTAGATACTCGGCAATCTATGTTTGTTGGAGTAAGATTATTCAGCTTAGCCATTAGCCTATCGCGTTGATGTTTTTATCCATATACTCCTAATATAAGCTATATTTAAAACAACACAGAAAATAACCTGCAAATTCTAATAAATCATTTGATTTAATTTTTTTTCTTATTTGCACATTTTTAACTTCAAATAAATATACTACTCTCCCTTCCCTGTTTAAGCTATTAAAGGGCAAAAATTAATATTATTAATCCCTGGTTATTATGATTAATTCATCAATAAATATTTTATTAATTATTGCAAATATTCATTCTTATATGTGTATGCTATGTTCTTCACAAATAAATAATGAAAACTGTATTTTATAAACTATTCTAATTTAATTGGTAATGATAATTTAAAAGTATCTTGTATTTAAGTTACTCTAATTTAGTAAAAGATACAAGAATCTTTTATCTTGTATCTTTTTGATTATTTGAAAAAGATACTAGTATCGTGTCTAAGATTCATTTTTTTAAAAGAATCTGTATCTGTATCTAGATTCTTTTTCTGGAGGACCTGCCCAACTCTGTCAATAACCATATCTTATTAAATGTTAGATACTTTACAATAAAAATTAATGAAATAATCCACCTCTGTTTTATATTTTATTAGTTAATTTCACTAATTTTATTTATAATTTGATATAAATTATGATAATCATAATATTACTAAAATATGTGTGTATTTAGTTAATAAAAATTCTGTAAATAATGTGAAATATTAAAATACTAAATATTTTATAGATTAAATAATAACCATTCCATTCTGATAAAAATCATAACTTAAAATAAATATTATAAATAAATTTGTGATATAACCTAAATGCCTTCAGGTAGTTAGACCCATATCAGTAACCATCTTGCAAACTTTATTATGAATCCTAAAATACTTGTGGATGTCAATAATTTTATTTGCAAGTACGTCATATGTCTGGCATCCTATAATCCTTTTAAGGGCTAAGGATACAGATCTTCTTTTTAAAGTCCTAGGGTCTAACCAATGGCCTGTGATTCCCAAATAAGCTCTAAAAATATTTAATCAGATCAATTTGTAAATATAAATAAGTTTTTACCTTCTGTTATGTGTCCAACTATCTGCCGTGGTACATACATAAGGTATATCTGATAACTCTACTATTAGAGCATCTTTCATCACTTTGAAGTTGTCGGCTATTTTATTCATAAGTGTCTGGCGACATAAAACTGTTGTGCCAGGGAATAAAGTTTTAATCATCATAGTAAATGATGGATTATCAACCAAGGACAATGGCTGAATTGTGTCAATAATAAAATCAACAATTACTTTATCAGCCAATTTTTGTGAAATATTGGCATGTTTATTATCAGTTAATTTGGTTTGGATAGTATTTGTCTTTTTGAATGAAGATTCTCCTATACCAAAATTTTTTATATGTTTCTCTATTTCCTTATAGCAATTGGCGTGAACAGTCTAATAAAATAAATAATATTATAATTTAAAAATAACAATTTACCTTTAGGTGTTTCTTCAGGTTATAGCTACTCGATTGATTTGATGATATATTTTTTTTACATTTTAAGCACATGAATTTGAATCCAGATTTTGTTTTAATATTTATTTAAAAAATTTTTTCAAATTTAGGGAATGGAAAAACGTTATTAGAGCTATTAAGTACATTTTCTTCCATTGAATCTTCCATATCTGAATCACTTTCAAGGATTTGGATATCCATGGACGATGCCATTTTAGATTATTAACACAGATTGAAAATATAAATTAAAAATTGAAAACATATTTAAATTTCAAAATTAAATAATAAATTATAAAAATTATAATTAATTATGATATTATATTTAAATTTTCATGTTTATACTTACATTCATTATATTTTTAAAAGTAGCGAAGTAGCGCGCTACTTAGCTACTTTTAAAAAAAGTAGCGCGCTAAAAAATTAAATAATTTTAAAAAAGTAGTGGCTATTAGCTATAGCTACCAAAAAAGATAGCGCGCTAAGTAGCGCGCTACAAGTAGCGCGCTACTTTAACAACTCTGATTTAATTTACTATTTAATTTATAAAATAAAAATAAATCGCTATAATAAATAGTATTTTGAAAATATAATCTAATTGCACAATATTAATATAATTTATTTTATAATATAAATTTTTAACAAAAGAAGATAATTGTATTATATAATATTGTAAAAAAAAATAATGAAAAATGTTGGATTAAAAACTTTCATGACTCAAGGTAAATATAATAAGTGCAATAAATATTTGACAGTTTGCAAATTAAAAAACCAGCATGATTGACGAAACCCTATACTCAAGAAAGATATTAAAAATTCACAAATTATCATGAAGAAAGAGAAGCATATCTACCTTTTCAGGTTGAAGATTACTTCTTCTTTCTTCAAGAATTCTCCCAGTAGTGGAAAAATTCCGCTCACAGCTTGCACTTAAAGCAGGAATTGCCAATTTTGCTAAAATTGGAAATTCGCTTTGATGAGCCGCCCACCACTCTAACAAATTATCCACCTTAAATGTTTTATCTATTATTTATGTAATTATAATATTCATCATCGGGTATTGACATATTACCAGAATTACCATCGCCCCATTTGTCATAAAACGATTCAGTTTGATTAACAACAGTCGTAATTTGACTGGTCGATGGTATTTCATTTACTTCCTGAGCCTCTTGTTTAATATAATCTTTTATATAGTTTTCCGTCATTTTGCGATCTGTCCCTGACTACATACGTAATTGCTTGAATTTGGGACAGAGAAAAAGAGAAATAAAATGATACTTGTGTAAAACAAATTTTTCAATTAAAAAATGCTTTATATTAAGTAAAATCAATTACAAACTTTAAGAAGTGATAATCCTTTATTTGATTGTTTTGGTAAAATATATTCTAAAAATTTAGATATGAATTATAAAAAAATATATTAATAATACTTGAATATTGGGGCTTATTTAAGATATTCCTTTATTTGATTGTTTTGGTAAAATATGTTGTAAAAATTTAGATATGAATTATAAAAAAATATATTAATACTTTTAATAAATTTGCAGGAAATTAATAATTAGATCGATCTGCGGGTTGTTAGGTAGTGTTAACCATCACCCAATATTATATTAATCATAACTATAATATAATATAATCTTCATTAACTCATAATGTAAAAATTTTTATAAAAAATATTAAGGCCCGGCCCGGGTTTAACAATCTTAAGCCCGGCCCGGATATATTTAAAAAAAAATTTTTTAAGCCCGGCCCGGATATGTTTAAAAAATTTTTTTTAGGCCCAGCCCGGCCCGGCCCGGCCCGGGTATATTTAAAAAATTTAAAATACGGCCCTGCCCGGGCCGGGCTTAGGGCCGGGCCTGCAGGTCTCTGATCAATATTATCAAAATTAAATTTTAAAATTATTTTAAAAAAAATTTATGAAGTAGTTTCATTTAGTTTTTCTCTTTTCTGACTGGTTTATGATATAGTTGAAATTTCAAAATCATATAATTTAATTTTTTTGTTTTTGAATTAGTTTTATTTTTATATATTTTTAAGAAATAAAAGAAAATAATAATAATTATTAATTCTTATTTATGATTAATATTTATCATTATTGATTATACATAAATAGACTAAATTACTCTAGTCTATTAAGTTGACTTAGATGATAAAAATTATATCTATTTACATTTTTCCAATTGTATCGATATCTAGATAGGTTTTTAGCCGATGTACCTGTATCTAGATCCATTTTTAGGTGATGTTTATATCTAGAGCTATTTTAAAAATATCTTTAACAACTCTAATAATTAGGATATACAATAATTTTTGCACATTTTTTTAAAATGTTATCTTTATCTTTATGTAATCGTAACTATTATTTTTTAATTGAAATTACTAAAATATATTTAATATTATCCCTTTATGATGATTTTAAGGGCTAGTGCTGCAGTGTTTTCCGCCTTGGCTAGAAAACAAAGCTTGCTTCGTGAACCAAGCATCTACCCTGAATTGATTGGTTTAACCGAAAATTTTAGGGATTTTAAAAACAATAACTCATGGATTAAAGGTCCCATTTATAGCGCAATAATACGTGTATCAGCCATTTTATCGCTTCTATCAGTTTGTATAAACACTCCAGTAACTCTAACACATTATCCGTTTCTTACCTATTTGACATTTGGCGTGGATATCTTTTGTTCACTCATATTTACAATTGAGCTTTTTCAAAAGTTATCGGAAAAGGTAAATAAATAATAAAGTGAGTATTAAAAATTTAAACGAATATCAAGATCATTAACTATTTTCTAATTTTTTTATTGTATCTTTATTAAATATCAAAAGAACCCTACATTATGCTGGAAAAATAAATGGACTCGTTTTGATTTAGTTATGGTTATTTGTCTTTGGTCATCACTAATTCTACAAGTATGCTTAATTATTTAAAAATATATTATAGCTCTAAATAAAGATGGTGGAAATAATGAAAATAGTCAAATTTGGCAAACCATGGTCAATTTTAAGATGTCCAAGACCATTAATAATAATAAGATTGTTTAGTCCATTGTTAAAATTTCAACTACCTAAAAATAGGATCAATCAAATTTTCAAGTTATTTATCTTTTTAAAATTTTATACATTTTTTAGCGACCTGGAGAAATACCCATTTCAGGCCTTGCCTGGTCTTGCCTTCCTTGTTCAGTTCATAACTATAGATGAGGGTTGACTAGTCGCTTTCAATAGGCGATAGTTTTTCTTTTGAAAATTTAAAAAAGCTAATAGCCGATCTATAAAATTGATTATGGTTATTAGTTATAATTATTTTAATTGACTATGGCTATTATTCATACTTATTTAAATAGCCATAGTCATTTTTTGCGACAGCAACTATTTAGATATTTTTGTTGGCTAATAGTACTAAACCTTGGTTAAGTAGGTTAAACTTAGTTATTTTTCCATCAACTTGGTTTTTCAAATGTTAACTCAATACGTTTTGCTGTAATTTAACTCTCTAAATGCAGTCAAATTTTTACAGTCTTCAATTCTCTTATATCAGCATTCAACATATTAGTTCAAGAATGGCCAAGGCGAATAACGTAGACCTAATTAGTTTTATTGTTACTCCTAAATAACAACACCCTAAATATTTTGGAGAATGAGCTTTCAAACAGATATAGCGATACACATTTTTTAGCAGATATCTAAACCGATACTAAGAAGGTATATCGATCTGGCATACCTAAAAAATAAAAATATAGTATATTTATAAAGCAAAGATGTAATTCAACATTAAGATTATTTTTTATTTATTTGTAGTTTATTATTTATTATGAAATTTATAAAAGTAAATAAATAAAAAGAAATAGGAAATAAAATTACCAGTACCTACTTTCCTTCCTATAAGGTTATAATTTATATAATATATATTCATAGCTAATGTGAACAATATTTTGTTAAATATAAAGGTCAATTATTATTTTTAAGTCAACCACTCGGGTAAAATCGAAAGTATCGTCCAATACCGATACTGAACAATGCCACTGATACCAAACTGTGTTATCGGTGCACCTCTGTTTCTGCTCTTGGATAATCACCGCTTTTTTATGTATCATTTTTAGGCTATTGTATTAAAATATAAAAGAAGCAGTTTAATTCCAAAAAATTATCAATATAATATAATATAAGAAATCAGATAAGATAAGATATAATATATAGTACCAATCTAATATGAATATTTGCTAAAAATAGACGATCAAGTCAACAAGTTTACAATGTGACATTATTCTTCCTATTTTTTATGTCGTTATACGCTATGAACGGTGTTCAATTTTTTGGTAAAATAAAACATCACTGCGTAACAAATGATACCCAGCCAGATAGGTAATTGAATTTTAAATATATTAAATATAAATTGAACGTCACTAATATTTTTTAACCCCATTCAGTTTTGCCAAAATTCAATATATTTTGACAATTATTTCTAAATAGTGGTCTGCCTCGACCTCACTCACTGATCCGATCCGTAGGTTGGGTCGAGTTATTATAATTAATTTTTATTTAGGGTTAGGTCTATTCGGGAAAATATTTTTTTTTGGATGAGTTGGGCTTGGAATATAATATAATTTTGAATTTAAAAGTTATATCAATAAATCATGGTTTCATTGTATAATAATTTACAATTTTTTGATAACTTCTTATTACATACTAAAAAAAAAAAATTTTAGGCTAAATTTTTTTATATTTTGATTTTCGGGTTGAGTTAGTAGGTTATGGTAATTCAAAAAAAAAATTATAGCCGGGTTGGGTCAGTAATATTTTTAAAAAGGGTTCAGTCAAAATGTTCTCTTGCAGGTTTCCTAAGGCAAAGGTTTAGCCCAAGGGGCACAAAACGGAAACTCCCTATTGTAAATATCGGGTGATATAAAATATCCCACTACCCCCCCCCCCCCTCCCGTTCTCCTCTTCATCATAGGAGCACTATATATCATTATAAACAATAAAATATTTTGTCAAAATAAGGATTATAATTAATTATTTCATAAAAATGCATTAAAAGAAGTGTTAAATCAAAATTACCCGCAATTGGTCCTATATTCTCCAATAAAATTTATGAAGGGCACCCAACTCCCAAAAAATCTTAGCTCTGCCAATGACTAAGTATAAATACAAAATATATTTCTTTTCCTAATCCAAACTTTCAAAAATAATCAAATTTAAATATCTTAAAAAGTTATAATTAGAAAACCCAAAAAGTAAAAATTTTAATTTTTTAAAAAATCCTTCAATACAAATAGATAAATAACTCCTAAACTATATGGGCAAAAGTCCGATATGGTAGTGTTGTCTGAAAACCTCAATTTAAATGCTTTTAAAAAAAATAACGAATCAAGATTTTTGCTAAAAATATTTTAATTAAGCCTCGAAATTTCATAATTTGGTCTTCTTTCCACCATCTCGAGGCTTAGCGAAGTTTTTTTTATATATCTAAATTTTGATTAGATTTTTAACATACTTATTTACCAATTTTAGTTAAAACATATATAATTTATAGCATAATTCCTATCGTACTCATAAAATATATTTCCCATTTGTATTTAAGCGTCATTACGATAAATTCTTTTTCGATTCCTCATTCGTATTGTTCACCAAATCCAAATTTCGGTTATCATTGTCCTCGTGGAATGAAATGCATGGAGTTAAATTTACCATATGGTCTTGGGGGATTTGATGGATTCAATAATTTTTGTAAAATTATATACATAAAACATTTTAATTTAAATATTGGATTTCTCAACTCAACCAGTATTATATTAATCAGATAACTCTGATTTTTTTCTCTTAAATTAAAACTTCAATTATAATTTAGAAAAAGTTTTACATTTCGACTTAAAAATTTGTGAATTTTTTGTTATTAACCTTATCATAAAATATAGTTTTTTAAACCATATTTGAAATTTTATCATTTAAGCTCGAATTAAATATAGGCGTGCTTAGCAGACTTTCGATCATTCATTGCGATATTAATGTTTATAAACGAGTTTTTTATAACAACTTTATTTCAGTTTGGATCTATATAAAAATCATAAACTTGGAATGTATTATGTAATCTTTTTCAAATTGTCATTTGAAATTTGAACAGTTTACAAAATTTTTAAAGTAAAATCTCATGAAAGTTATAAAATATAAAGTGCAAATTAAATTATGGTAAGAATATAAAATACTATTAAAATCTCATGAAAATATATTTAAAATGATGGGTAAATAATATAAGAAAATAAGGACGAAAAGTTCGGGCATAAAAAGTTAAACTCCTTTTGTGAATTTTGGCCTTTAGGAGTTTTATGGTCAAGGGTGCTGGCTATTAGCCAGACGGAATATATATTAATTTTGTTGACTTCCTGTTGTAAAATTAGGTCGATACTGAGGTTTCGGGGAAAAATCTCATGTTTTGATATTACTGCTTTTCAACTAAAGAAGTAGCTAAATCGGGCCTTTTACGATCGATGAGGAATTGATAGAAGAGTTCATTCGGGAACTCAATCCGGCAGAAGAAAGATATTCAGATAATATTAAATTCACATGTTTTTAAACACGTTAATGGCGCCTTAACGAACCCTTGCAGTTTATGCAAATGTGAGTGAAAATATTTTTGTAAATCAGAGGCCAATAACAACTCATAATTATTTATCCTGGATAAAAGAGAGAGGAAGGTGATTTATGAGCGAAAAACGATTGGAACAATCATAAGAGAAGATAACATTTCTTCTCCATGGTTTGGTGGGGTTGTCGAAAAGTCTGTCATTGTTTGGATACTTTTGACAAATATAATAAACGATGAAAGGAAATAATATATAGGCTCTGCTATGGGAAAAATGTATGACACCTAGACCTCCCATTTTTGGAGAAATCGACTGCCAGTTCTTTTCTGAGAAGTTTAAATTGATTATACGTTTAAATTTTTTTTGAAATTATTTTCAAAATCGAATAGTAGGGAGGCGTTATTAATAGCGGCGAGGTCCGAGATATAAAAGTGTTCTTGGGCAAAAGGTAGGATTTTTAGAAGGTAAAATATTTGATTATGCATATTTAGAACCTTAAAAGGAAGATCAATAATAGACCAAATATGTAAAAAATTGTTATCAATTCTGATGTAAAATGATTCGAGGTGAAAATGTATTGTAGAATCTAAGAGGATTAAGTTTTTGGGATGAGGTGAATCTGAAGCCTGGGATTATATGAAGAGCAAGAAGGTTGAACGAGAGAAAAAAATATTTATTTATTTATTAATATTTAACCCTTTTAGGCGATAATGAGTTTGGAAACCACTTACAAAATATTAAATATGAATTTAATACTTAAATGATTTTTATTGAAACCATCAAAATGTTAAATTTAGTATATTTTTAATAATTACAATTTAATACACGTAAGTTATACACTATTTAAACTTGAAACAGGAGTTCTGACATTTATTATTTTCAAATTTTCCAATGTTAAATTTAAAAAAATAAGATTTTAAATCATTATTTAAAAATTTCCATGACTCCTGTTAGAAGTGGGGAAGGTGGTCCATATGATACCACTATTTTTTGGAAAATTTTAAGTATATTTTATTTATATAGATAAAAATAAAATTTTTTACAATAATAAAAAGAAAAATTACCAACAACTCTCAGTTTGAAAGAATAATTGTCTATAATGATATTGATATCTAGAATATTGGCGAAGAAACTGCAAAATGCGCCATCATCCAGATACCATAAATTTAATACCATAAATTTACATCTGAATTTAACCTATCTTTTGAGATAGATATTATAGTGTTAACACCGAGATGCCCTCTTGATGATATGATAACCGAACTGTAGGTATTGGCTATAAAAATAAAGGAGGAAAATATCGCGACAAGGTGTTTTAAATCAGATAAACATGAGGCCATATTTGAAAATCCCAATAGTATGGGAAGCGATATCACATCAGCCTTAACCAAACTGATTAGGATTTATTCTCTATGATTCTCTTAGCTACTATTTTTTCAAATAGGGAACTGGCAGTCATGGAGCGCATCCCGCTGGGTTAGTTAAGACCATCAGACGAGCCCCATTAAATAAAGGGCTAATAACAGATGGGAAGGTATCGGTTAAAATTTTATTGAAAAAAGGTAAGACCTGTTAATAAATTATTAGTATTTTTCTTTATCTTTTCAATTAAATTAAGAAAGAGGGAAGGACGCAGATCAAAGCCAGTGGATATGCATTTGTAAAGGATTTGAGTGAAAATTATCGGGGGGGGGCACAAGCAGAGTCAGGAGAAGTCATATTATTATCTGGGCGATACACAGAGCTATATAGGTGAGTAAATTCATCCAACGAAAGCAATATTTCCTGAAGCTGGCCAAACGGAGGGTACCAATAACATCGCCAAGAATAGAATTCGTTTATCTTGAGCTGACTTTATATGAGTTTGAATTAGAATTTTTGAAGTTTTTTAAAGTTATAAATATTTAGTTTAAAGAATACATTTACATTATTATTTAAAATATACTTTACAAATTTCATATGATATTCTTCAAGTCTCATATGATACTCTATAAATTTGGTAGGATTTTTTTGGCCTTTTTTTAAAAAATTGACTATTTTATACAGTCAAATATTTCAAATATACCCATTAACAATTAAAGACTCTACATATACACTATTTAATAAAAACGATATAAAAAACAAAATTATGTTAAAAGTGGGGAGTGCCTGTATATTTAAAAGACGAATAATAAATAGTCAAGCAAGCGCTAATATATATTTAATTTTTTTTAAATCTATAAATATAAAGTCAATAGCTTCTTCACTGTTTATGAGAGTGGATCTCAAGAAGGATGGGCTTTTATAATGTATAAAATGATAGATAGTTTGCCAGCTTGGAGAGCCATACTTTACTTTGTCTCTTTAATATTTTTTCTTGCTTGGCTGGTGAAAAATGTGTTTATCGCCGTTATCACTGAAACTTTTGCAGAAATAAGAGTTCAATTTCAACAAATGTGGGGTTTTCGTGCTTCGAATCAGTATACTACCGTTGATCATGTATAAATATTATTGTTAATTTCATAAAACTCTTATTTTTATAATAGCACATTGTGATAGTTAATAATCAATGGAAATTAGTCAAAAATGGAATGGAACAAAATAGTGGATATGCTCCACATATTTTTAAAGTATGACAAAATTTTTACATTTAGACAGTTTCGTGAAGATATTCCTATTCTATCATATTTTTAATAGAAAAAGTTAATAATTATTACTATATAATAAATTAATTCCTTTATTTTATCTAAAAAACGAAAATTAGGCCCTATAACATATGATTATTTTTTCCCACTAGTGTCAGTAGGGGAGGGCACTGAGGCTCAAGCCCCCTTAGAATTTTGAATTTTTTTAAAAAACACCTAAAAAAGGAAGGTCATTTTGAAAATGTTCTAATAAAAAGGCGAAATAATTTTCAAAAATAGCAAAAAAATTTTTTGAGTCCCCGGAGATTGTAAAGGCTAGTGACGCCACTGTTTTTTATATATATTTTTCTAAAAATAGATTGTTCTCCATACACCTTATTTCAACATCGGAATCATATTATTTATAATAATTGACGCTATAATAGCAGCGGGTATTCTAGACAAAACCTATTTATTTCGACAACACAAAAATAAATATCTAGCTCAAGTTACAATACTATACTAATTACATATATAAAAATCTTACAACTTGTGTATTATATTAAATTTACAAAATAAAATTAACATAGTTCCCACCCACCATTTATTACCTTAATAACAAATTTAAAAAAAATTATATTTAATATCTAAAAGTATATTCTTTTATAATTACGATTCTTTATAAAGAAATATCGTTTTAAAATGATTAGTTTAACATAAAAATCTTACATTATAAAGGTGCAAGTTAAAAAGAAAGCACTAAAATTTTTAGATCCAATAAAATTTACTATTTAAAAAGTTAGCGACATTTCGGATAAAGATTGGAATGCTTTATCTAATAATTAATTTAAATTAAATAATATTCGCAGTCAAAGTTTAAACTTCAACTTTGTTTGCATTTATAGAGCAAAAGGAATTTAATAATAATTAAAAAAAATAGCAGTGATTTTAACTAGTGTCGCACCTATCCACAATTCTTCACCGATCCGATTTATTTTAAACGGAACCGATATTTATATTGATTTGTTATCCATTATTTTATATGATATAAGGTAATGGGATAATAAAAATTTGTGTGCAAATTTTTTTAAAGTTTTTTAATCAAAATATTTACTTATCCCGGCTCTTAAAAGTTAAAAAAAAGTCTAAGGCTGTATCCTAGGTTAGCTTAATACTTAATAACAGGTTATTTAGCCAGCTTTTAAATATCGGCTAAATAGCCAAAAACGTAAGAGATTAAGATTAAGTAAGAAAAAATTAAGATTTTAAGCATGCCACTCATGTAATTTTCTATAACAATTGTACATATCAGTTTAGATTATATTTATATGAGCAAACTTGCAAATATACCGTAGAAGAGAAATAGCAACTCTTTCTTGATTGCATTAAATATCTTATAGAGATATATGTTGCATGAATGATGCAATCATATAGAATATAATTAAAATTTTAAATGTCCATCCTCATATATTTATAGAATTGTGTCATCATTTAATAATTCCTTAAATGAATTTTGAAACCATTTTTATCATTGCGATTCTAAATCTAATATATTTTTTCTTTATTTGGGATATTTCTTAATCAGCACAGATGATTTCCTCTACTTTACGTTATAAAGAAATGCGTCTCTGAGAGAGAGAAAGAAATTGTTAAAAAAATTGTTAAAAAAATTTACATATAAAGCTCACTATAAAATTGCAGGTAAAATTTTAATATGGGATATCTTATAAATGAAATATATTTAATAAGAAACTTGAAAAGTAACAAGTAATTCGGTCGTTATATTTAAAAAAAATGTCTCCTTATTGTGTCTTTCTGCATTTTATCAAATTCAACAACACTAATTAAATTTTAAAAAATTATACAGATCCCATATTATTATAAAATTTTGTATCTTTTAAAATAAATGTGGAAAAATTTTATCTTGCAAAGTATGAACTCTAAACCTCGGATTGCTAGGCAGACCATAACAGTACTGGGCTAGGGAGTTATTGGAATACAATGTTTTATATTATAAGTTAATCAAATGAGATTGGTTGCTTACTTATTATATCACGATGTTTAGGTTTATTTATGCTTAGAAATTAAATTTAATACAAAAATATTTATATGCTGTATATATTTCATATTACTAATCAGAGTAGCATCTTTATTCTATAATTATTATCTATTTTCTCTCTATTTAGATCTAAAATCAATTAAGACACATACAAAAAAATTGACATATTATGGCTTTTAAGTATACTTAAAAAAACGAACTTGTTCCTACTTAAAATAAGCCAAGTGCCTCGTTCAAATATTTTTTAGCCTGTACTAAAAGGGAATTAAGTATCCAAATTAAGCCGACCTAGGATACAGCCTCAAAGCTTTAAAATTCTAAAAATAGTCTTTAAATTTGTAAAAAGGTTTTCATTTATAAGATATATAGTAAAGAAAGTCTTATATTAAGTTATAACCCTTAGAGAAATATTATACATATAGTTCCATATTATTTATTTTAATGATGATCAAAATTTTCACTTTTTAATTTTAGCCTTAATGCAAATAATAAGTATAAATTTATATGCTAGTACACTATATATATATGGTGAATTCCATATCAAATCAACCAAAAAAAGTCGATTCTCAACCCGACCCCCTTCAATTTTTCTTAAATTTTGCATAATGGTAGTATATACTATAACTAAGAATAAAATGAAATTTTACCTCCCAAAAAGGTTTACTCGCTAAGATATGGGCGTTTAAAGCGCGGAAAAATAGTACATTTTTGACAAAATGTGCCTCATTTATTTTCAAATATCTCGAGAAATAATTAAGTTAGAAAAATAATTTAAATTTTATTATGTAGCTTAATAATAGTTCTTTAATATGACATAAAAATAAATATGATATAAATTTGATGAATGTCCAAAACCGGATGTATAAAACCGGAAATGGCCATAGAAAAAAAAGGTATTTTTTTTTTCAAAATTTTTTTTCTGTAGATAGATATAACACTTCTTTATATTTGTGCCAAATCCTAACCTGGGATGAAAAAGGGTCTAGGAGTTATGACTCTTTATATGGCTTAAATTGATCAAAAATATCTTCATTTAATGAATACTTATGAAATAATGTTTTTTTAAAAATTATGTCTAAATGATAGGCCCTAACTTTTTTTTATTTTTAATTGTTAACATATTGTGACTGAAAATTACTTAACAAAATAATTCTAAACCAATTTATAACTTTATTTTTCTGAAATGCATAATTACATATAATATAATAATTCATAATTATGTTTACAATATATCATATATTAAATTATCTAAAGAATTGGAATAAATTTTGAATTTAATTTTATTTTCGTCAAGGGGAATATAAGCATGGTATATTTGTGTTCCCGGAATTCTTTTTCCTCTCAAAAATCTGCTTTCTAGATGATTTTCCTTATTATTGTATTCATTATTGCTTACAAAAATGTAATTTACTCCATGTATATTATTTGTTGCAAAGTCGAATAAATCCATTGGTGTCAAAATATGGTTTTGATATGGCCGTTGCAAACTAGCTCGAGCTGCTAGCCGTTTTTTAATACTTACTAAACTGTCGCACGGACTTTTTCTATGAGCTGTAGCAAAAAAATGCCACTCGGCCTTTATACCAAAATCACATTCATGATTATAGAGATTTATGAAATTTTTTTTATTTTTATATTGGGTTACGGCCCATCATAAAAATAATAAATTGTATCAAATCTTTCTTTTAAAAATAAGATCATTGTGCTTTAAGCAATCTGATATCACCACTAAACTTATATGTTTTATAGTGTTGTCCTGACTATAATAAATGATAAAAGAGTGAATAGTGGACTGATTATTTGTCCAATGAAATCCCTGTGCATGGTCTTGCATTTTTTCCCAATAATATAATATGATTTTATTATTTTTTTAGTTTATAATAATTTAGTTTCTTTTTCCCAATAATATAATAATTTTATTATTTTTTCCGTTTAAGAATACTATTTTCGATTCGGAGAATTCATTTTTCTTTAATATAAATGAAAATTGTGATTATGATTTTAAGATGAAGTAAAAGTTATAGAGCTTACACATTAGGGGTTATGAAAACTACAATATGAATGTGAATTTATCAATTAAATATGATGATATTTGTTGAATTTAATTATGATAGATTGTTTTATGGTAATAAATAAAAAAAAGTAAAGGCATATCATTTAGACATAATTTTTAAATAAACATTATTTCATAAGTATTCATTAAATGAAGATATTTTTGATCAATTTATTAAGCCATATAAAGAGTCATAACTCCTAGACCCTTTTTCATCCCAGGCTAGGATTTGGCACAAATATAAAGCAGTGTTATATCTATCTACAGAAAAAAAATTTTGAAAAAAAAAATACCTTTTTTTTCTATGGCCATTTCCGGTTTTATACATCCGGTTTTGGAGATTCATCATATTTATATCATATTTATTTTTATGTCATATTAAAGAACTATTATTAAGCTACATAATAAAATTTAAATTATTTTTCTAACTTAATTATTTCTCGAGATATTTGAAAATAAATGAGGCACTTTTTGTCAAAAATGTACCATTTTTCCGCGCTTTAAACGCCCATATCTTAGCGGGTAAGCCTTTTTGGGAGGTAAAATTTCATTTTTTTCTTGGTTATAGTATATACTACCAGTATGCAAAATTTAAAAAAAATTGAAAGGGGTCGGGTTGAAACCTTGGTTGATTTGATATGGAATTCACCATAGTCTGTATAGCAAACTATATATCTTTATTTGAGTAAAAAGTAAACAAATTAAATATCTATATAAATATAAAATGATGAAATAATGAAAATTATAATATTGGATATTTTTCTTTATACCCTCAAGTTTATATGATAATAAGTTTCTCCTATATGAGGGCTATCTATATCTAGTTTTATTAAGCGGCTCGATTTGAGTATATTCTTAAAAACGCCTAACCCAAATTTTATCTAAAAAAAATTTTAAGCAAGTCTGAAAATTTTGGCCTTAGATGGCATTGATTTGGATATCTATTAACGAAATCTCGAGGCTTAGGCGATGTTTTTATTTAAAATATTGAGTTCGCCGTTTTAAAAATAGGCTCAAATCGAGCCGTTTAACAACACTAGCTATATCACCAGCTGTGCTGAAGGCTGATTCTGATGGAACGCTTGTGGCAAAAGATGTCAAATACTTAAGTGGAAGGTTTGTCAAAGTTTGAAATCTTTGAGCATTAATCCTCCAATAATCAAGACGATCAATCGGAGATATAATCTTGATATTGTTAATTAATCAAAAATTCGCAGACTTTTATTTACTATAAGTTCTGGAATATTCAAATAATGCACAAAAATATGAATAATTTCTTTTATATTAGTTTATTAATATTTACTTCTTCTATCGTTAAAAAATGCAAAAACATAAACATTTTTATTTTATAAAACTTTTTTATAGGATTTATGAAAATTTATTACCAGAAAGGGAAATTAGTTTAAAAAAATATATAATATATATATATAAATAAAAATATGCATAAAATCTATTGTTAAATTTAAAAAAATATATTAGTCGATCCGATATTTTTCATAAAAGTCCACTAGCGGTACAGCCTAACAATTCTATAGTTTACTCATTTCTTTCAGAGACCTGCAAATGTACTATTTGCACGGCTGCTCGGTTTTTTTTTTAAAAATTCACAGGCCCAGTCCGAATTTTTTAAAAATGTATTATTTTAATTTTTATAGCTAATGACTATTTAAAATATTTGGCTAAATAGATTTTTGCCCGGCCCGACACGTGTATATTTAAAAAATTAAAATGGGCCAGGCCTTCAGGTCTCTGATAGAAATATTGATCTTTAACTATTTTGTTTTTGTAATATAAACTCGGACATATTATTAAATTAATTACAAATATAATAGTATCTAGATACTTACAAATCCTTTTTATTAAAATATATCTAGATACAGCTACATTTTTGTGTCTAGATACTCCTCTGCTATCTCAACATAAATTATTAATGATAATGATGCATAATCGATAATTGAATGGTTCCTAAACATTAAAAATAGTTAATAAATGAAAATATTTTTCCCTGTGTATATTAATTATTCAGGGCCGCACTTCAGGTTTCTGATTTTTTTTTAAATATAGATAGAGCACTTCAATACTTGTTAATTTAAAAACAGACTTCTTCTGGTGGCCTAGCGTCACCTAGGTCCTTTTAATGAAAACAACGGTTATTTAGACTATGTATGAGGACTAGTCCCGTTTTTAACGTCTTAAAATACATGATGCAATAGAATAATATACTCATTTGATATGGTTTTTGGTTCCCATTTGGTAATTTTATTAACCTTAGGCATGTATAAATGATCCACCCATAGACCCCGGACCTTAATTTTATAAAAATTCTTACAAAACTATTTAAAATTAATTATCTAGTCTACTCTGAATATTACAACTATTTGCTAATTTTATTTATTCATTTTAAATATTTAGGTCGTTTTTACACTGATATTTGACATTGAAGCGATATACAAAATATGGTGCATAGGAATTACTGGATATTTTAAAAGATCAATTTTTAAATTTGAATTTATACTCGCTCTGGGCAGCACGATACATATTTTACCGATTTTTTACCATACTCAATTTTTCACTGTTTTTCAGGTTCATTATTATTTCAAAGATATGTTAGATTTCCAATTTATGAAGCTGTTGCGCCTCCTCTAAGGAGTGGCGAAGGCTCCATCACTCAGCATGCTTAACATTTCATGGATAAGATGATTTTTTTTGTAATTATATAAATAAGAATTTTAAAGATTGAATTAGAGATAAAAATTTTATAAGAAATTTATTAAGGTTGCATCTAAAATCTGTTTTAAAAGAAAAGTTTCAGAAATTTTAATTAAAGCGTAATGTTAAATTTTTAAACTTTTCTAAAAATATATTTTGGGCACGTTTTTATTTTTATATTAAAAAGCTTACTTTTAATTAATTAATTCCCCACAAAATAGTGCAGGTTGTGGGTCATTTTTTGATCCTTTGTTGTGATTTATTAGAATCTTTTTTGTAGAAATAAGTTGTAAACACAACTACTCACCAGCTAAAAACTCTATCGAGTTCAGAAATATTTATTGAGTAATTTGAGATTTATAAATCAAGATAGTGGTGAATTTGAATATAAAGGCTTATATCTCCAGATCTATATGAGTTAGAGCTATTAAATTTTGATACAAAACTAAATCATCATAGAAATTTTAATTGCTTTATGAAAATCGGCCTTTTTATCTATTTCATGGAATGAATATACAGGTGCCAATCTATCCTCGATAATATATTTTAATAACGATTGCGAGAAACTTTCAAAATAAATATAATATAAATAGGAGGCTACTGAAAAACCACGTCAAAATATCTAAACATATCTGCATGAGATCTGTTTAAAAATGAATAAGAATAAAATAGGAATATTAGATTCGTTTAAATCGAATATATTACTATTTGTAATATTTTTACAAATAAAATTTTTTATATTTTTGTAATAGTATTATTTAATCGAATATTTCCTATTTTTAAAAAATCATAATTGCCATAAAAGTAAAATAAAATCATATAACTTCCAAAATTAGAAATAATACCGGTTTTTACTTTGTGCAATGCAATACTAAACACTTTATTAAAATAGGATGAAATGTTTTATTTATTGTCATAATTATAATAAATATACATATAATTGCACATCTAAACAAGAATTTGTTTTAAAAAAAGGTTGAATATGTCAAATAGCTTGATTCATTGATATAACATATTAATATGGGTCAAGTCAATATTTAGAATTGTTCTTTTAGTTCTAGTAACTAACGGAACTCTTATAGGCGTTGTCTCGAACATTCCCTGGCAGTGCTAAGATATTTAATTTTCCAAACCATTTATAATTTATCAGGATAAAATGCTTTATTTGCCTTGCGTACCACATAATTACGAATACCTCTCAAATTCCAATGCAAACTTAGACCGGTCAGAAACAATCTTGACCATTTAGTAATAGCCCACTTTATATTTCTATATCGTTGCTTCTTTTGGTTAACTGTTGATAGAGATAATGTACAGTAAGTTATAAAAATGAAAATAACTTTACAACATTTATGTAAACTTCGTTTATCCCTGGTTGTTCACATTTTGAGGCCATTGCTAGCAGATTTGATGGGATCAGTTAATTTATTAAATTGCCTCGGATCGTTTCTCAGCTTAGGTGGAGTATTTCGGCTATGGCTAAATTATTCATTCATGCAGATATATAAAAGCAGATGATATCATTCACTCTGACATTAATGATGACCATTTAAACAATGATTAAAACGCAAAATTTAAAACGGTGTTATTTAAATATTTTCCTATATATTGCAACATCTAAATTAGTTATCCAAGATAAATGATTAAATCATTGGAATAATCTTAAAGCTAATCTTTTGTTTAAAATATAACTACATATAAAATTTTACGTACAAAGATTGATAGAAGAGTCAAAATGTAAAACCGACGATATTTTTCATTTTGTTTAAACAAGGCTATTATTGAAAATGAACAACGATAAAATTAGTTTTAAAAAACTTTTATCTATATAATATTGCATTGTTGTTATTTAAAAATCAAGTATTTAATAAATTAGTCTCTAATTGAATAATTTACTATTCGTATTTATTACTATAAACTTTAATTAGATCATTTGAAACTATTCTAATTCGTTGTTTTTAAATAAATTTTTAAATTATATGTTGTGCAACACCTTACCACTGACATACTAAATGTAATCTGAATACTATTTGTATTGTAAAAATATATATACATGTTCAAATAAAAAGAAGACTATTTTATTTTATATTTAATAATTGTTTAATATCAATTTATTTTGTTTAAGGTTCTAAGAATAGTGAGATTAATTAAAGCATCTCCTATGTTAGAAAATTTTGTTAACAAAATATTTGGACCTGGAAAAAAACTTGGAAGTTTAATATTATTTACCGTTTGCCTGCTTATAATAGCCTCAAGCATTAGTCTTCAACTATTTTGTTATTTGGATCTTAAACAATTTAGCACCTTTCCTTATGTAAGAAACTTAATTATTTGAAATTTAATTAAAAATTAATGATTATATCATTAATATGATAATCTTATTAACGAGTTATTGATATATTTAAAATTTTATATAATTATAGTCTAATTGGATAGTGTCGTGGATATAACGGCCAAAACGGAGCGGGGGGGGGGGGGATGGAACTAGGGTGGCAATGAAGGGCCGCCAATCAAATCCCTTTTCTTATGCTTCAAAGTGAATTGTAATTTTAAAAAAGTATAAATTATATATAACATTAAAAGCAGATTATGTTTTCAAGGTTCCTATAAATGACTAGCTTTTCCCTTTTCCTTCCACTCCCCCCCCCCTCCTATTTTACATTTATTTACTTGTTTTGTTCATTTTCCAATATTCTTTTTATATTTCGTCGACATATGATTTATATATATCATAATAGGAAATTTTTATAGTGTGGTATGGAATAGATTTTTTTTTTATAATATGGCCAATTAAATGGAGTGAATAAAATATTTTTATTTAAAACTAATGAAATCGGAGATAATTTTCTATGCATTTATTTTTAGGCTTTTATGTCTATGTTTCAAATTTTAACTCAAGAAGGATGGGTTGAATTATTAGATGAAATTTTATGGAGTATCGGATCCACTTTTGCACCCTTGGTCGCAATATATTTTACATTTTATCATCTCTTTGTAACCTTGGTAATAATTGTTCAATTTTATTAATATATTTAAGATAATATTTTAACTATTAAAGATAGTCCTTTCATTGTTTGTCGCAGTAATTTTGGATAATCTTGAGCTTGAAGAAGATATCAAAAAAATGAAACAAGTTAATTATTCTTCATTATGTTCTAGTTCATTATATTTATATCAGAGGGCCCGGACTTTGAAATATTTACAGTGCAGTTAATTATCTAAAATTTATATATTTAATTCATGCCAAACTTAAAAAATAAGGTAGTCTGAATGAATTTATATTCAAATCCGGACCGGGTATAAAATGTTGACTTCTGATTTCTATATTATAAAGCAACGGCTGTGCCGAGCTACTAATTTTTCACATTCTATCCGATATTTGTACAAATCTGATAACCATACCATAACCTTGATCTTTATTTACCATCCATCTTTGAACGATCAATATTTTATATGTAAAAATAAAAACAGTTCAAAAATGTCCACGAACCTATTCGGGACAGGCCGCAACGACCTTTGTCTTAAATTATAGGTTAAACAAAAAAAGTTTAAATTTTCCGTTTTTATAAGCCAAGGTGAATCACGAATGATTAATTCAATTTTATTTTTATTTCTCAAAAGTTGATCATTTCATTAAAATATGGGTAATGTCTATAGCTGAATGTAAAATAAATATCTTGTTAATATTATTTTTTTTATATTTTATAAATATGAGAAAAATAAAATAGACTGAGATGTTGTCCCTTAAATTATTTTTACTCACCCCATGAATGCTCGCATTATTTTTTCCCACGAATGTTCTCATGGTTAGGCATTCAACTATTAAGTGAATTAAATTATGAAAAATTAATAAAATACATAACGGAGGTCGTAAAATTGTTATAAAAGGGTTCATGTTCCCTTTTTCAAACTCTTTACATAGTACGACTCAAAAATGATTATATTAAATATTCAAATCGGACCAGTTAGCTTTTATTCTAAAAATTATATTTGGTGGTTTTTTTAGAAGATTTTCTTTTCGAAGAACTTTTCCAATTACTCACTATAATTTTTAAATTTAAATCATAAAAATTTTAGCTAAAATTGAGTGAACAAACAGCAGGCAAAGAAGCTCAATTACCTTGGAGATTACGAATATTTGACAAATTTTCACCTCATCCTCAACTTATTAAACTGCACAGGTATTAAAATTTTTGTTGTTTGTTATTTAACAATTATATACATATAAGTGTTATTTTTTTACAAATTATATAAAATACATGATTTAAATTATTAATGATATGATTGATGGCTTCATTATAAATAGCTGGACGTAAGTTAGTTCCCGGATTATTTTAAACTCTTATACACATTTTTTAATTTACGTGTATAAATATTGTAATATATTGAAATTGATTAATATTTTTATAGGATGACCTCAGACTTTTCACTACCAAAAATACGAGAGAGTTTCTTACGAAAATTTATGATTGATAATTCTGAAATATCAATCTTATTAAATCCTGTAAAAGGACTTTTTGTAAAATGCAATCAAGCTTCTACCAAAACTATCCAAATTGACATGAACATTAAACGTAAAGAAGAAAAATTGTTAGGGGAAGATATATTTAAAATAACATCAAATGAACAAAAAGAACAGGATGATATTTTTTTGCCCTATAAGCGCTTTAATAAACCAGGTAATATTTTAATATTAATTTAATATTAAATATTTTCTAGCGTTTCAAACAGTTATGGACGCTAACATTAACAGACCATTCTACGATCAAGATTCTAATACAGTTTCCTTACGAGATCCATCAATTTTGGATGCATTTATCAAGTTAAAAATTATATTTAATTTAAAATAATATAACTTAATATGTATAACTGTTTATGTGCCCATCAGAAAATACGAGGATATGCGAAATACAATAATAAAATTTAATTCACCGATGAAAGAATTGTATAGGGATGGACCATCAGATCAAAGTTCGCAATTAAATCAGTCCTTTTACAACAGAGGTAGTAGGTCAAAATATCCAAGAATCGGTACTTTTAAAGACAAAAAAGAAAAAAATTTGAGGTATCTTGAGAGCTTTTATTTTATGTACTTATAAATATTTTTGTTCTAGGAAAAATACACTGCATTTAAAACAACGTAAATATAGATCTGATGAGAAAGCGGGGCTGGAAACGAACAAATTGAATAGAGATGAGGCAAATGCGAAATCAAAAATATCTTTAGGCACAGGCGAAGACCGAAATTTTGATATTAAAGCATTTCAACATAAAAAACAACAAGCCGAGATGAAAAGGTCCATTTGATTATAGTTAAATTTTATGTTTATAATTATTTAGAAATTTAAAAGAAGATGAATTAAGAGAAAATCATCCTTTCTTTGATTCGCCATTATTTATTATAGGAAGGGATAGTATGATACGAAAAAAGATAATAACAAGATTGGTATATGCGCGATTCGATTATTCCCCTAAGGATTTGTTATCAAAATTTAGTTTAAAATGCCTCAATACTTCATTCTGTGAAAGAATTTTGTAAACTTTTTATAATTTTCAACTATTGAAAGTTTTATTTAATATTAATATTACCTTATTAATATATTTAAATAATTGCCATATTCTTAACCACTTTTAAAAGTTCAACAATACTAAATTATTTATTTTAAATTGAAAGGCACTCATATTAATTACAGGGAGTCAAAATAGTTCTTAAACCTCTTTTTTTATTATAAATTTTTCACCGATCCAATTTTTTAAGCATTCTGGATGAGTATGAAAATTTTATGTTCAATATATTTTCGAGGAGTTTCTTGATTTGGATAAACTAGCAAATCACTGCATTTGAAGAACATTGTAGATTACAGGGCATAGAGGAGTTTGGGAATAATATTAAAATAGTTTTTAATATTTTATTTTTAAATTGGAACCGTTTTTAAATTTTGTTATAAAAAAATGTAAAGAAATACACCTATTATAAAACAATCACCTTTATTTGCATGCCGTTTGATAATGTCTTCTTTGAATTTATGAATCATGTGAACAGTACCTTTAGAAATATTAAATCTTTTAGCACATTCTCTTTGAGTATGATGATTTAGAAATTTAATAACCTCAATTTTTTTTAATTAACGATAACCCGTTATTTTATTTTTTATTCATTGAAGTTATTATTAAAATACGAGTTTAAAACCAAGGTCATATAAGAAATAATTCACGATTATAAAAATATAGCATATATATATAAATTAAAAAAAACAAACAACAGAAATTAAATTTAGAGATCGGTTTACTTGTATTGCTATAAACCATGAATATCAATTCAATTACTTTGATGAATAGCCATCGTAATAGCTTGTATTTCATTACGATCGCCACTTATTTGGCTTAATTTTTTTTCCTAATAATATAAATTTCATTAATTCCTCACCAAAAACACCTAGAGTATTGAATTACATAATTAGTCTTAGTATTTTTTTTATTTTCAAGATTTCTGCCGAATTAATTACTGATTTCTGTTGGATCTTGCCGAAAACGATGGATGTGTAAAGACCAGAGGACCAAGATTTAGTCTGATATCATCGGGTCTTCTGTTGATACTGGGCATAAATTATTGCGCTCTAAGGTATTTGGGAAGCAGGCCTTTTTAAGAGCTTTTGAGATTAAATTATTTATGTTTGTATGACGAGGGAGGTGACCTTTGGAATCTACAATGTAAAAGATGGTGTCCTTTGGAATCAATTATAAAGAATATAATACATTTAGAAGGAAGAGATATATGGTACCAAGACGAAGTGAAATAGCTATACTAAGTTCTTCTTTAGCGAGAAGACCGAGATTTTTGCCTGGAATAGACGACAACCATTTGTAGCCCAATTTAGAATTTAGAATAATGGCTGGGACATTGATAAGAGATAATCATGGAGTGGGACACTAGAGGAATATCACATTTCTGAAGGAAGGATATGGGTCTGCTAAGCTAATAACGCTTTCTAGGTCAAGATCATGACCAGTAGGTATTAAACTTGAAATGTTTTGAGGAGAAAAATGAAGTGAGAGGAAAGATGGGGGACGGAAACCAATCCCATCATTTTTACATGGAGGCATGAGGTCACGGAAAATTTATATTGACGATTGTCCACAGTATTGTGGGGATATGAAACTCATGCTTGTAGAAGAGACCTTTGTAATGATAGATTGGGGGTGATCTCATAATGATCTTGAGTTTGTTAGAAAGTTTTTAGAAAGGACTCCTGATATTGGCTGGTAATTCATATGAAATTGGTTGTATTTCTACCATATTAAAATATTTGTTTTTAATTGTTAAATTATTCCTTTTATTACTACTATCAAATAAAATAATATTAAAATTAACATATCAAATATAAAATAAAATAAAACATTATTTTATAAAAACGGAGGTAGGACTACAAGTTCCCAAAAAACATGAATAGTTATATTTTAAAATAGTTATTTGTAGATTTTGTTTTAAAAAATAGTATTCTTTTGGTTCTGATGTAAGGGCTCTTATCTTATCGCCTATATTTTTTAAGAATTTTAAAGTTCCGCTTGGCATATATCCAAGGGAAGAGATAACGATCGGTGTAAAAATATAATTTGTAAATTTGGAATATTTCATTGTTTTTTTTTCTCGGCTATATCAACCGGATTAGAATTTAAATTTTTTGGCAAAGAAAATATGGATGTGAAGTCACAAATTAAGAATTTCCCTATAGACCAAGAAAGGTTTTATTTGCCGTGACACCACCAATTGGAAAGTTGAATAAGTTCCTGGTTTGAAATATATTTTAAAGAGGATAGGGATAATAGAATTTGTGAGAGAAAATTCCTATTTGGACACGTTAAGAGATAAACCTATAATAGACACAAGATTATTAATATAGGGATGGTGTTTATTAAAGAGATCTTTAGCTATGAAGTAACCATCTATTCCATTATTTGACATGAATAAGTTAAAAAAAATAATAAAATTTTATATATTCAGCAAAAAATAACAAGTGCCCACTTTATAGAGGTTTTATGCAAATGGACAAAAGAAGACAGTTGCCCTATTTATCAAGGCATTCTAATAGTAGTTAATAAGTTATTTGATTAGGACTCAAAATTTTAGTCAAATTAGGAAATTTCACGTGCGCCTAAATTAGACAGGTTTAGTTTAAATAAACTACAATATAAAAAGGCAAGAAATTTTAATTAAAGAATGGACTAATTATTGCAGCACTGAATAGATTAACTTGCAATTTCTTCGACCTGGGTAGAAAATCGTATCGAATTAAGAAATATTCGTATTCAAAAATTTTGAGTTAAATAATTTAGTATTCTTATTTGTTAGTAGTACCCAACAAAAAAGATATAATGTAGACATTTTATTATATAATGGATTTAGAGTTCAATAAATAACGCTTTTTTTCCCATTTATTAATTTTTTATTTACTCCATATAAACACCATTTATTTACTAGCAAAAAAATTAATTTATATTTTAATTTTAAATGCTTTATTCAATCCAACAATCATAACATGTTCCAAAATATCATTTTTAAGTTTAAATTTAAATTGAGTAGCTAAAAAAAATTGTATTTTATTTTACTTTATTGATTGTATGTTTTTATCCCAATAATTTAATTTCTAAAATAGGCAAAGTATTCCTATTTATAGCATATTAAGTTATTTAATAGCTGATGGCTCTTCAAGAGTGATAGGGACTCAGAATTTCCTTCTTTATGATGGTTGAATTAAATTTCACCTTTATTTGATGTTGGGTGAATCAGAAATTTTCCTATCTTATGAAATGTGATTCAGAAATTTATTTTTATTTTATGAGGGGTTTTTCTTAAATTTCCCATTATTTAAAAAAAATAGATTAATTAAGTATATATTTAATACTTTTAATTAATGTGCACAAAAAAAATCTTTTCAATGTGAGGTGGGGGAGGTGAGGCGGCCGTCAAATGTCCCCTCATAGTTGCAGCCCTAAATATCTAATAAAATACAAGTTAAATTTTACTTGAAAAATTTATATAGCAGGTAAAAATGGTTTGAACCAACTAAGTATTTTTTTTAAATTTTAAAACGTTTAATCTGCATAAATAAATTATATATCGATTAATTTTGCATGATATAATTTTTTAATCAATTAGCAATCTCATAGGTATGGTGACTTATTTGGATTGGATTATGATTTTATTCACATCCTTGTCATGCATCTCATTAATGATGGAAACATCAGAGAAAAGAATTATGAATACCTACTTTTTGAAAGTTTAAATTATACACTTTTATTGAAATATTATTTTTACGTCCCCTATCAATAACAAAATTTTGACTACACTTAATGATAATATACAAATAAATATAAATGAGCTGTTTTAACAATCTTGTTTCTTTTCTTTCCAATGTCTGTGCTGTACCTCAATCTGTAATCTAATAAATAAATCATCATACAAAATAATTGATGAAGAAATATTAAAATATTGTGGTTCCTTGTTAAACAATATTTATTAACGAGCTGCCTTTAAATTTAGTGAAAGTTAGTTTTATCTCGAATCTAGATAATTTTATAAATTTTTAATATTTTGAAATCTTATGTTATGCCTATCATAACATTTCAGATACTCCTTAATTTGCCTATCATCTTTCACCTTAAAATTTATAATATTAGTCTTTTTAAAGGTTAATCGAAATTTACAACCTTGAATTGGAGCAATAAAATAAACTATAATTGTTTACTATGATTTGTGGCGGGGACACGCTGAGCTGGAGAACCAGAGATAATTATACATATAATATTTTATAATTTCCTACAAAAATTTGAAACGCCCTATTTTAAATAATTACATAACAGCTAAAAATGTAATTACACAACTATAGTTGTCGGATTTGCGCCACCAGATTGTGTTTAAAATATAATGGAGATTAATTTCATTACACGTAGGTTCTTTGATGTTATCATTATTAGCTAATCGTTCTTGCCTGTAACTTTAGAGCCACCTGCCATATAACACTGGTATCTTTCATACATTTCACTTAACCTGCCTTCTAATGTTGTGTCTCCAAAGTTTTATTTAACCAAGAAGATATTCAAATTATTTTTAACTCCCCAATAAAAAAATCCATCCAATTTATATTTTAGATCAATGATTACGTATTTATAATGGCAATGTCCGTTGAACTTTTGTTGAAGATAACTTGTAATGGATTAATTTTTACTCCTAATGCATATTTAAAGGATTTTGGAGGCTTGTTGGATTTGTTTATATACATGGTAACACAATGACAAGATTTTAATTCATAAAATAAAAATCAAACAATCAATTAATTTTATTATTATTAAAATTCAACAAAAATTTAATATAATGTTCTATATATTTCTTTATTTTAATATATTTCAATATTTTCTATTTTTATCATTAACAGGTTAATGTATGTTTTTTAATCTGGATGCCAACATCTGTCCCCCAAGCCTCTTTAGCCCAAATGCTAATGGTCTTTAGGGCTTTTCGACCACTTAGAATTTTTGTTTTACTCCCCCACATTCGAAAAGTTATAAAGGAACTCTTTAGAGGATTCAAAGAAATTACATTAGTAAGATAACATTATATGTTTTCTTTTTCATGATAATAACTTTTCCTATATTATAATTTTATTTTTGATCTGTGATTTTTAATTAGGTGTCTATATTATTGATTGTCTCACTATTTATATTTTCATCTTACGGAGTTCAATTGTATGCAGGGAAGTTAGCTAGATGCAATGATCAATCTATTAAATTGAAAGTAAACTGGTCATGAGTTTTATTATAATTTTTTATTTTAAGGTAGAGTGCAAAGGAATTTTTTTAAAAGAAATATTTGTTACCAAATTAAGATTTCCAGATAAATCTCAAAATATTCATCCAAAAATAATGGTTCCTAGAATATGGTAAAAATGAATTTTATATATTATCTTGTTAAAATAATTAAAATAATATATTTTAGGGCTAATCCACGCAATTTTAATTTTGATAATGTTCAAAATGCAATGTTAGCCCTTTTCGAGATACTATCATTTAAAGGTTGGACTGATATAAGAGATATGCTCATCATTCAAGTTGGACCTGTAATTTTACATCTTTATTCAATTTTTAATTCTTGAACTATTATAAAAAATTAGTTGCTTCAGAAATCTGCATGTCCGGTACCCGGATTGGGGTGTAAAATAATTAAAAGTTTAAAAATGATAACCGGGTCAATTAAAAAAAATGTAGGCCAAGGTTATTTAATTTCTACAGGTCTTTTTTATAGACCAAGACCAGGCTTAAATCCCGGTCCTGGATTTAAATCATATCGGGCTTAAAATAAAAATATTTTTCACAAAACTCGACCGTTCTTATTATATAAATCGAAATCATTATGTAGATCTTCCATCAATATTTATTTTATAGTTATGATTTTAATGAACATGTGTACAGGTTTTAAATCATTACGATATATATTTGGCGAAAAGTTTAAAAAAAACTAATTTTTAAATTGAGTAAAAAAATAGGTTCTTCTGAAAACATATCAAACCAAAGATATGCTTAATATTATGTGCTTAACCTTATAAGCTGTAAATTCAACATTGCAACTCTTAGTTCTCTCAAAATCAAAACCCAAATAGGAGGAGAATTAGGGAAATAAATATGAGATCCACAATTTTTGAACAGGTCTAGTTACCTGTACTCACAAAAATTAATCTTTGCTTAAACGCCCACGAGAAATAATGAGATAGAAAAAAGCCCGGACCACATTAAATAAGAAGTTTTTTTTAAAGGGGTTTCGCCAGGATAGGATAATTCAGTTTATTTACCATTATGATGTAAATGTAAAAAAATAGTAATATGATTAAACAATAAGCCAAAGCGAAACAGACAATCAATATCAATTCAATCAATTAGAGCATTTAATCTTTCATTATTTTGAATTCATGATAATTTTCTACCATAACATTATTGGGGGAAGCTAATAAATTGCATTTTGTTTCGCAATAACGAAATTAACTGATCGATTTGATTTTTATAATTTAAATATTCAAATTTACTCTTAACTTTTTTAAAAAATATATTTTAACCGAATATATTATGCTTAGTATTATAAATTATATATGAAAGTACATTTTGACTTGGTATATATGTTTAAGGTAAAAAAAATTTCTAGTGAACTTTTTTTTACACCATCAATCTTCCCTAATCCCTACTATAATAAATTTAATGATCTGATGTTTATTTTAAAAAAATCACAAAATATATACTATAATATACTGATTACGATATAATAATATTATATTTTCTTTTTATATTGAAAGCTCCATGCAATCTATGTTCATATATTTGTATTTGTCGCTTGTATGATTGGTTTGACTCTGTTTGTAGGCGTTGTAATTGCAAATTATATGGAAAACAAAGTATATAATTTTATTGAAATATGAATAAAATAAGTTATTTATGATTGCATTTTTACCGATTTATTTATCAGGGCTGTAATGTAAACCTCCGAACCTTCATTATTATATTAAACCTTTTTTAAAAATTTAGGAGATCTACTTTTTAAGATTTATTTTTATAAGAACTTTTCGATGAAGTTTTCTTTCATGGAATATTTATTTCATTTTACGCAATTATTTTAATTTTTTATCTGCATTTTTTAAAAGTTTACATAATTTAATATAATATTTGTTTTTGTTTGTTTTATTAAGATATTTATTCCACCTACACACATCCCACTCCCCTCTCTTCCAAAAATTTATACAAAATATCATTATAAAGAAGAATTTGAAAAAAATTGGTAAAAGCTAGAACTGTAAACATTTCTAAAATATCTAGCGCATTCAATGTTCATTGACAAAAGTTGAACACGTTCAACATTCACTTTCAAAAAATGGAACGCGTTCACCTCCTTTCAAAATTTTATGAATACATTTTTTTAAATTTCTTTTAATATTTAATTTAATATACCAGTATAACTTTATAATTGAAAAATAAAATTTGAGTTGTAAAAGCTAGTAAATATTCTTTTTTTCAATTAATATTTAGTAAAAATAGAATTATATATTATTTGCTATTTAATCTCAATATTTTATAAATAAATTTAAATATGTTTCAAACTTTCTGAAAATTATTTTTAAAAAAAGATTATACATAAAAAATTTTTGATTGATTATGATTAATTGCTTTATAGCAATGCAGTTTTTAGTAATACCTATTTTAATATTATGATATCATATTTAGAAATTAGGCCTAGCCCGAACAAATAACCCAGGCGGGGCCGTGTTTTACAGATTTATAATAGCATTGGTTGTTCGCAATAAGAATTCTTTATTAAATTAAAATGGAAGATACCGAATAATTGAAAATTTTTATTAAAAAATAAATAATTAAAAAGTTAAAAATACATTTCTTTAAAGTTATAAACCTCAAAATCACGCCAAAAAATCATAATTATCACTAAAAATAAAATTATATAAAATAAAAATAACTCAAGAATCGCAATAATGACTTCACAAAAATCAAATTTTATAATTCTAAATATATAATATAAATAACTTAATAAATCCAACACACGATGATTTTATAAATGTTTACATTCAACTATGACAAATAGGAATACAATTTTTTATGCTACTCCTGTCCTTGCTGGTAGTGTTGTTAATTAGTTGATATCTTCCGACTAAGACTAATAGTCGTAGTCGAGGAAATCGACTAAAAACTTTAGCGACTAAATTAGTCAACTAAAACGACTAATTAGTCGACTAAAAAAGACTAATTAGTCAAAACGACTAATTAGTCGACTAAAAACGACTAATTAGTCGACTAAAAAAGACTAATTAGTCGACTAAAAACGACTAATTTAGTCGACTAATCAGAGAAGATAAACAAAAAGAAGTAAAGTGAGAATTTGTCATTAAAATAACTATATGAGTTATATATAACTTTTTTTTGAATTTATTTTTCTTTGAAGGAACAGGTTAAAATTATAAATTGTTATTTTTGAACTTTTTTTAAATTATTTTAAAGCAAGGTATAAATATTTGTAAACATGTTGAATCAAAATTTCAGTGAAGATGTACCATAGAAAAGTGACAATTGTCATAATCGTCATTTTTAAGTTTTTTTGAAATTTTTTGAAGCAAATAGATAAAAATATATATTGTAAACATGTTAAAATAAAATTTAAGCGAAGATGTACCATAGAAAAGTGACAATTATCATAAACGTCATTTATAGGTTTTTTTTGAAATTTTTTGAAGCAAAATGACGATTATGAGAATTGTCGCTTTTCTATGGTACATCTTCGCTTAAATTTTATTTTAACATGTTTACAGTATATATTTTTACCTATTTGCTTAAAAAAATTTCAAAAAAACCTATAAATGACAATTATGACAATTGTCACTTTTCTATGGTACATCTTCGCTTAAATTTTATTTTAACATGTTTACAATATATATTTTTACCCATTTGCTTCAAAAAATTTCAAAAAAACCTATAAATGACGATTATGACAATTGTCACTTTTCTATGGTACATCTTCACTGAAATTTTAATATAACATGTTTACAATATATATTTATCAAAAATAACAATTTAAAATTTTAACCTGTTCCTTCAAAAAAAAAGAAATTCAAAAAAAAATATATTAAAAATAACTTATATATAACTCATATAGTTATTTTAATGACAAATTCTCACTTTACTTCTTTTTGTTTATCTTCTCTGATTAGTCGACTAAATTAGTCGTTTTAGTCGCTAAAGTTTTTAGTCGAATTGTTCGACTAAAACTATTAGTTAGTCCTCTGTTAGTCGACTAAATTTAGTCGATTAACAACACTACTTGCTGGAGTTAAAAGATATTTTTTAAAATGGATTTAAATATGTCGTCTAAAAATAAATTTAAATATAGATATATCTAGTTCTGCAAAATATCCCCATTTGAGCTGATTTTTAAAAGGTTAACTAATTATTTTCATCAGGAAAATATTACCTAAGCCTCGAGATTTCGCGAATAGATGTCGACTTGCATAATATTTTTCTGGATAAGATATATTAAGCCGTTTATAAAACCACTAGATAGATTGTTTAAAAATGTATATAGATACAGATACAATCTACAAATGTATCTCGATACAGATTAGTTAAAATATTTATTAAGCTGATATCACATCTATATACAAATATATATTTAAAATAATGATAGTTAGATTTCAATAATTCATATACAAAATATATAATTAAATTATGTTAGATTTTAATAAAATATCCAAAATTTTTATCACATAAGAAAACGCGGGTTCTTATCCAAAATAATTAAAGCAAGTCCTCCTATATTCTTAATTTTATTTCTAAAAAAACGAAAATAAAAATCATTTTTTAATATAAGGTAATTATTAAATATTATTTCTCTAGTTCATAGCTTGAGTTCACGACTCTAGGTGTGAAATAGATTAGCCGTCTAGATCAACTGCCGACTCTGAGTCGCGAATTAATCGACTATTTAACAACACTAGGCGAAACATTTAAATAATATTAAAACAAATGTTTAATAAAAACATAATCTGAATTCAACAAAATAATGAATACTAACCACAATTGAGACAGTTTTAATAAATATATGGTTGTTCTAATTAATTTTTAAAGTTTCATAAAAAATTAGACCCCCCCCCCCCTCCCCCGAATCCCCTTCCTTAAAAAATTCTAGACTTGGCGCCTGGTTAATATAATTAAATCAAGGATAAAAATAATGCAAACCAATCGATTTGATTCATTACATTTGTTTTGTTGTATTTAGCAAGAACAAACATTAATATTTTAAATACTGATGCTTTATCTTATTTATTAAAAGGGTACTGCTTTGCTTACAGTTGATCAACGACGATGGTGTGATCTTAAAGCTAGATTAAAAATTGCGCAACCTTTGTTTTTGCCTCCAAAACCATGTATATAAATTGATATTTTTAGCTGTTTTACTATAACTATTTTAGCCTCCTGCTTTGGTTCTCGATTATATGATATTACTCAAAGTAAATATTTTAAAAGGATATTTGTTTATCTCATCATATTTCAAAGCAGTTTGTTATCAGTTAAAGTAAATTTTAAATGTTATATTAAAAATTAACCATATTTTAGTGGAATAAAGATTCGAAATATAGTTTATATTTAGCAATCATTTCATCTGTCTTCATATTTTTATTTGTAATTGAAATAATGATCAAAATCGGGGCCTTTTCAATTAATGGCTACTGGCAAAGCAAACGAAATCGATATGATTTTATAATTACTTTGATATCTGTCATTTGGATTTTCCTATTTTTTGGATTTAACGTATATTAGTTAAATTAACCTTTTACATATTCATTATAGACAGACACATTTTACTATATGGGTTATTTCGTAATAATTTTACGATTTTTTTCTTTGGTTGGAAAGCATGTATATTATTAACTTAGATAAAAAAATTAATTCTTATATAAATTTACCAGCCTATTCTTCAAATGTTAATGTTAACAGTTGTTATGACATTTTTTAAATCGTTTTTTATTATAATGGCGATGTTTCTACTTATAATATCATATGCCTTAATTGGAGTAATTTTATTCGGAACCGTAAAATATGGTGAAAATTTAGGGAGGTATAAAATATATTTTTTTAATTACCAACCTTTAATATTTATTATTTTTTTAAAATTATTACTCACATTAGAATTTCATATTTTATAAAGATACAAGTAATATTATATTATAATGCCACTCTCCACTAAAAAAAATTATAATAAAACATCTTATCTTATTCTACAAATACTAATATTTTTAACAATTGTTAAATATATTCATATTTAGTAGTATCAAAAAAGCATAGCCTTTAAAAATGACATAGATAAATAGCCTAAATCCAAGAATACCATGATGGGGGGGGGGGAGTGGATATACTTGTTTTCCCTTGAAAATTGCTATGATTTTTTTAAAATATTTATTATTTTTAAGGATTGTTATTTGAAAGTTTTGCCTCCTCTTGCAAAATAAAATTAACAGTATATTTATATTTATGCAGAAGATTTACCCTTCCCCAAATCTGGAATACTTTAGAATATATTTTTGTAACCAATTATGTTAAAAATGTGGAAATAAAGAGAATAATCAGGATTTCTATTTTCCTCTTGGTTCATTTTGTCATAATTGTGTTTTGTTTTTATGAAGGGGAGACTGGGGCTAGTCGAACTGATTTTTACAAAATCGGCTATAAATCCTGTGTTTTTTTAAAATATTATAAAGAACAATATATGAATCGATGCTTATAATTATACTCTATAAAGGTGCCTTATAAATATTTTTGAAAATATAAACCTATTTTTGAAATTATATATTTTTTATAAAAGTTGAAATTTTGCCCAACAAACCCCAATAACGGGGTTGGGCAAACCACTGCAAAGGCTTCCTAAACCATTAGTTTTTTTAGGCTATAATGAATTGAAATACATCTATATTTATTGATACGGATAGTTTAATTTTATGTTCAAAATATCATAATACTTTTAAATTGTAGCTAATTATTGAAACTTAATTTTGTTTAATTTAATAAATATTTGGGACCAAAATAATGATCTTATGAAGTAATTATGATTTCTTAGCATAAATCATAAATACTAATCATGCACAGCAATGAAATTTTCTTTCCATGATTTTGAAATATTTTTTTCATATTAACTGCCATAATTTACATGCATGGTTTACAAAGCCCCACTAGCTCTAACTTGACTAATTATGATTGAAATAATTTCTAGACAAAATAAATACTCTTAAAACTTGCTCAAATTATAAAAAAGAATTAAAACTTACTATAAAATTTTATTTAAATATAAATGATTATATAACTTAATAAAAATTAAAATTCTATCATTTAAAAATCTTTGAATTTTGCATTAAAATTTATTCCTTAAATAAAATATTTAGTAATTATTTCAAAAGATTTTTTGCTAATAGATGCATACTAATAAAAGCTATATTAAAATTTAAACCTTCTAGCCTATTTAATTTTAAAATGAGATTAAGATGTTTAGCAAGCCCCAGGGTATACCTAACCTCAGTCTCCCTACATTCTTTTTCGAAATATAAAAATAGCTCAACTCTAGTAATGTTCATCGGAAGAAATTTTTTTATTGACTGAAATAGATTTAAGATTTTTAAATAGGATTAAAACGTGAAGGGATATAGGATGGAGTAGATCAACTTCCTCTTCTAATTTTAATTTAACTAATAATGATGCAAATTTCTGAAAAAATAATATGAAATATATTAATAATTTCGCAACATCCATTTTTATGTTAAATTGTTCATTTTCCATAATGCAACATTTTGGATGAAATTATTTCAATCTTTAAAAACAGCATTTAAAATGCCTAATTAGAAATTTGTTAAACAGTGAATATGAAAGAATTAAAAATGTAGTAACCGAAAGTTAAGATATAAATAATTTCAAAACAATAATTAAATTAATATTAATAGTCTATGTATTTTTAGAAAAAAAAATCAATATTTAAAATAAATTTTTAGTTGTTTCCCTATTTTCCAGTTATTTCACTCAATTATAGTTTCCTGGAAATTTACATCCCTACAAACAATTTACCATAATTAAATGATATAATGTTAGTAATCTAAAACACTTATGATGAATGTACATTTTATAATGGTTGATTTTATATTTTCTTATTAAAAGACAAGCTAATTTTAAGACAGCCCCGAGAGCGATGTTAGTATTATTTAGAATTGTAACAGGAGAAGATTGGAACAAAATACTTCACGATACAATGATTCAACCCCCTTATTGTACACCCGCAAAAAACTATTGGCACACTGATTGTGGAAATCCCACGGCTGCATTATTTTATTTTTGCTCTTTTTATGTTATAATCACTTACATCGTCCTCAATTTATTAGTTGGTAATTACTTATAGTATATTATATTAATATAAATTGTTTGGCCTAAAATTTTAAATATGTATAAATAAAAATTTGATGAATTTTAAGAATAAATATTTTATATTTTGTAAAGCCATTATTATGGAAAATTTTTCTTTATTTTACTCAAATGAAGAGGATGCGCTTATAAGTCATACAGATATTAGAAATTTTCAAATGATTTGGAATATTGTTGATATAAATCAAAAAGTTAAATAAATTTTTCAATATAAATTTGTATATTAAAAATATATAGGGTGATATATCTAAATGGAAAGTAAAGTTTTTGCTTCGATTGTTAAAAGGCCGTTTACAAGTAGATTTGGAAAAAGAAAAAACTTTGTTTCAACATATGTGTTATGAAATTGAAAAAATGAATACATTGGAAGAAGTCTCATTTCATGATGTTTTAAAGTTTAAAACATTTCTTTTGACTATTTATAAAAATGAACCTCACCTCCATCATTTAAAAATATTTTTACAAGCTATGAACTTTTCCAGAGTGCTGATCCGATACTTAACTTTAATATTTTTTAAATACCGATATGATCGATTCTTTTTTCTTACGATAAAAATAGTTTAATCATTATATTGTTATTAGAAACAAATTTCATTTTAAATATGAAATAATATAATTAAATAGCACATTTTTGATTAGCATATTTACTTCAGATCAAAAACTGATTCCCTAAAGATATTGGACAAAAATACCCTTTTTTTATTATTATTTTGAAAAAATGCTCATCATTTTGTATTAAAAAAATTAAAAATATCATTTGTATATAATTAAAACAAATAACATAATTAGCTAAGATAAGGGGAGGAAATATTACTAGTTAAGTCGAATAGAATCCATAAATTAACATGCAGTTTAAAACAGATAAGATTTTATCTGATCTTTTTAAAGCTATTAATAAATTCTCAAATTCTATTATTATTAATTAAGATAGATGTTTAATCAATGGAACATCTCTTTAAATTTTTTGCCCACTGATATAGGTGAAGGATATCATTAATTTTTTTAAAATATATTTGAAATTTTAATTATATATAAGTATATAGTAGATAAAAACTCTTTACTATAATAAAAACAAAGACTATAGGGGAGACCGCGGAGCATGCGAGCCCTAAAAGGCAAACGTTAATAAAATTAAAATTACTTGATAATATTGAATAAATAATATCTCATTTTATTCCACTTATTTTTTTTTTGCTATGCATAAAAATACTTTTTTAACAATATTAAATTTTCCAAAAACAAATATTTGGGAAAGGATGAGCTATAACCGGGGTGAGCTTTCCCACTAGGCGTTTTTGAGCTGTTAATATTAATTTTTTTTAAATATAAAAATGATATGTATATTATTGCGATAAAAACCATAATGGAAAATAATTATAAGAAATTAGTGAAATTTATTGACAATTTAAACCAAAAAAATGAATTAAAGTTTTCCGTAACGACTGGCAAGGACGGATTTTCATTAAATTTAGTAATGATCTCATTATTTATTTGTTATTTCTTCTTTAATATAATTTTTTACCATTTTCAAATTTCAATAAGCAAAAAAAAATTTAAAAATAACGCTCAAAAAGCTCATATGAGTCTCTGAAAAGTAGCCCCAGACCCTCAATAATTTTATGGTAATTTACACATTTTTTGTTCAAGTATAGAATATTTTATTTAGAGTAGGGTTTAATCCATATAAGATAGTTATTGGATAATTAAAACGTTTATTATTTTTTATAAATTGCAGAATTTAAAAAAGTAACTTTTGAGGGTATAAATCATATTATAAAAATATGTGATCCAATATTAAAAAAATTATAGCCTTTATGCATAATGTAGTTTGGTTAAAAAAGAATCTTGGGCTCATAAGATCCACAGTCTCCCCTATTATATAAATCTATGGGTAAATTATATAAAATTAACTCCCATATAATCCTTTACAGTGAATTATTTTCTTACCCAAAACTCTTTTTCATTGTTTTATTATAATAAATGAATATGAATTTTTAATTATTCATAAAATAAGGTATTTTTCTCTAGGACATCCGATCATTTCAAAAACTATATTTTATATTTAGTGTTTTGGCCTACCGTTCAGTGGATATACAAAAAAGTTTACAAATAGAAGAGCTACTTGAACGCGAGGAATTAGAATTTTTAATTAGGGAAGAAGTTGCCAAACAAACTATACGTAAATGGTTGGAAAAATGTTTGATGAAAAAACGTTCGGTATAGTTTTATCATTTTAATACTTTTTAAAAAAATTCAAGAAAAACAAAACGGATTTACTTACATCGATGCGAGCTACACAAGAGTCCATTCTATTAGAAAATTTACATAAATTAGATATTGGACCCTCAAATAAACTTCAAGACCAAATACAAGTAATTATCTAATATTGATAAAACAGCTCTTTTCGAAGTTTGCTTTAGCTAATTTGACGGATCAAATATAAATATATTTATTTTTTGTAGAAATCCATTCTACACATATAATTAATTATAATAATTATTTTTAAATGAATTTTTGAAAATATACCCTTTCAACTTTTTCAATTGTTCACTTAACCCAAAAAACTTGTTTTTCTCTTTAAAAAATTGTAATAGGCGAATAATTAAAACTTCCAATATTTTATAAAATTCTCAATATTTTTTAATCAGTAAATTTTTTAACTTTTACCATATATTTAATTAGTATAAATACAAATTTAGATATAATTAAATAATGAATTTATTTTAATGGAAAATTAATTTTAATATATACTTATTTTAGTGTAATATTATTAAAATAATGGAGAAAAATAAGTTTCAAATCAATTAATATACTGAAAAAATATATATTTATGGCATAAAAGAATTTGCTAAAAATTTTAAACTGAATTCTAAGATGCTGACATTATTTTTACTGGTAAATTAATAAAATATTTGACAATTCTTTTCTTATTATACTGAAAAACATTCATTTCGAATAAAATACTGGAGAAATAAGTAACAGCCATTAGAATATAATTATAAAAAAATATAAATTTTTTTATTAATTTTGTCTGAGAGGATATATAAATGGCTCCTATTAATAAATTAAAATTGAAATGCTAAGAAAAAAATCCTTAAATGCTCGGCTCTGTCCTAGATCGGCTTAACCCATTAATGGTCAACGTACCATATCTGCAACGGTTATTATTTATTGATCTTTCACATATAAATCTTATGAATTGAGTAATTTCACATATGTCTTATAACTCAAAGATTGTACTATAACATAAAAAACAATTTTGAAAAAATATTTATTTATGAGTGCGCTAGATGCCATTTAGGTTCGACTATTTTGGACTATTCAAATGGCAAAAGGTTCCCTCGTTGAAAGAAATTTTTTTTTAATGCAATTGACATAAATTTATTTCTTATAGATGCCTTTATCATTCTAATTAATTTTGGACCATCAATTCTATCTATTCCTAGATTTATAATCATATGTTTTTTTACTATAACATTTATGCAACGTTAACCACATAAGGGTTCAAAAAAAATTCTAAAAAAATATGGCATAATATTTTATTATAAATTTTTGTTCATATTCCTACTAAACAAAAATGCTAATTTTTCATCATAATATTTTTATTATATATAAAAAAAAATCAAGAAAATTCATAATTTTATTCTTATTCTCATTATATTTTTTCATTTGAATATAAAAATTATTTGTAAATTATTCATCTTATATTTGCCAAATTTTTAAATAATAATCAAATATTATTATGACAGCAATTTTTAAAAGTTGATGAAGCCATATCCATGCTTTTCGTTGAAGGTCCTATTTATAAAACAGATATTGTAATTATACCCCATAATGTTTCTTTAGTTAGTGACGAAGAAGATTTCTATGAAACGATCTAACTGACACACCTAATCTTCCACTAGATACTGCAAGGGAGATCGAAATCCAATATCCAGCAGACATTGATTGTTTCAGAAACCTCAATAACTACAAAGTAAATTATATTTTGGAAATTATTTAAAATGGAGAAAAATTGATCTAATTTACACATTGAGACCTACTGATAATGTAATAAATTATTATCGAATTTCTATTTGAATGTGGATCAATCACATAATTATTCCAAACAAAACAATTGGAAAATTTTATTACAACCTAGTCAGATCAAAAGATTTATAGGAATTATTTTGCTGACTGAATATCATTCCTTGCTGCAAGTAAGAATGTATTGGTGAATGACAATGATATTACTATACAAATCGTTAGAAAAATAACAACATACTTTCGAAAGATCAAAAGGAATCTACATTTGTCTAATAACTCAACTTTTGATGAAGATAATCTTAAAAAATTACTAAATAAAAGTTTCGCCAATTCGGTATATGTTTACATAATTTATGCATAGATGATACCGTATCGAAGAAGACATTCCTGTAAAATGTTTATCAAAGGTTAACCCATTCGATTCAGATATAAATCATTAACACTTTCTTCCTCCGGATATATATTTGCATTTAATGTAAACAGGGAAAAAATAAAAGCCAAACATCTTCGGATCTTGGATTAGGAGGTACGGTTGTTACAAATTGTACCTTCTTAGCTTTCTATTCACTTCGATGATTTATTTTATATCTCTAAGGCTTTTATCGTATTCGAAGCATCTTTGATTTTTCGCAACTGGGACTACTATAAGAGAAAATAGACTTAAAAAAATTATCCTTTAAAAACAATTAAAGTTATGGCAAAAAAGATGGGTAGCGTTGATCTGCACGATAACCTAGTGTCAACATATAGAACAAATATTTTTTTTCTCTTTAGCTTTCACCTTTTCTGGTGGTAAGCTCCTTCAATATATCTCTCCATTTTATGTTATTCATACTATCTCTTTTATCTAATTTATACTTCTTCATATTGGCTCTAACTTTATGGCCCCATTGAAGTTTTGGCCTTCCTCTTTTACGTTTGCCCATCACTTCGAAACTCTCAACCTTATTTCCTATGTAGTTCATAGGCCTTCTCATTGTGTGCCCATATTACCTAAGTCTATTTCACCATTACCTTAGTCTTAACTTCCTAGTATTCTTGTGGTGGCCTAGTGGGTTATGATGTATGCTTCGAAACAGAAGGTCCCAGGTTCAATCCTGGTAAGGAAAGTAAAAATTTTCAGGTTTTTCTTCAATGACTGATGTGTAAAGACATATGGTAAGATGAATTTCGGAGCTGAGATGGCACCCCGGTCACCGACAGGATTTGACAGCCGGGTGCTAAGGATACTTGTCAAATAAACCAAAATAAAGGAAACAAATATAGAATAAATATATGAGGTAAAAAATGGTGGTGGCATAAGCAATTTTATTGATGTAGCAGTAGTAAATTCATGGAAGTTATGGAATCTAGGAAATCCTGATGATCAAAAATCTTTATTCAAATTTCGGCGTGAAATAACTACGACGCTTTTGAAAACTCCCCTGGCAAATAAAAAGATAAGCAGAGTCCACCCTAGTCAAATATCCTCACTAAGTGAAACACCTTAAAATTCTTATGGTCATTATGTTACAACTATTATCGATAACAAAAGGCGACGTTTAAGCTTTGTCATTTTCAGACAATATATTGTGTCAAATACCAATACATAATGATTGTTTTAAAAAATTTCATAAAATATAAAAATTACCAAATTGTATCTTATAAATATAAAATAAATAAATAAATATTGTAATTATATCGTATTTCAAGCAATAATATAATGTTATCATATTTTATACCCCTAATGGTAAACGTTACAGATATGTAACGGTTCATATTTCCTATTTAAGATGATTTTTTCATGCTGATTTTTTATTATTTCTCAGTTAGACTAAAATAAATAAAATTTGAAAAAATCAAGAATTTTCATCGGCTGAAAAAAGTGTGACCATTAATGGGTTAATACTTAATAGCTAGCTTTAAGTATCGGCTAAATAGCCAAAAAAGTAAAAAGAAATTAAGATTAATAAGAAGAATTTAAGATTTAAAGCATGCCACTTATTTAATTTTCTAAATTAACGATTAACATATCAGTTTAAATTATATTTATATGAGCAAGCATGCAAATATTACCATAGAAGTTGATTGCATATTATTATCTTATAGATATATGTTGCAAGAATGATGCAATCATATAGAATATAATTAAAAATTGAAATATTCATCCTTATATACCTATAGAATTGTTTCATCATTTAATAATTCCTTAAATGAATTTTGAAACCATTCTTTATCATGGCGATTATTTTATTTATTTGGGATCTTTAAATGATGCAATCATATAGAATATAATTAATTGAATATTCATCCTCATATACGTATAGAATTGTGTCATCATTTAATAATTCCTTAAATAAATTTTAAAACCATTCTTTATCATGGCGATTATTTCATTTATTTGGGATCTTTCTTGTGAATCATAGGCTGCTAGAACATGGATTAGCGCTAACAATTCCATGAAAATTATTTATTCTATAACTTATTAAAAAATCCATCTATGAGAGAGAAATTAAAAGTATTTGTTATTATAAACAAATATAAAATAATTTATATATAAAGCAGGCGATAAAATTACAAATAAATTTTTAATTTGGGATATATTATAAATACAATGAATGAAATATATTTAATAAGTAACTTGAAAAGTAACTAGTTAATTCGGTCGTTATATTTAAAAAAAGTGCCACTCATTATAGTGTCTTACACTAATTATATTTTAAAATATTATACATATCCCGTATCATTATAATTTTGTATCAAATTCATTTTTAAAAAAAATGTAATTTTACCTTGCAAGATATGTAACCTAAACCTCAGATTGCTAGACAGACATTAACAGTTCTAGACTAGGTGATCTATTGGAATAATGTTTTAATTTGTATATATTATAAATTAATCAAATGAGATTGGTTGCTAATCTACTTATTATTCCATATAACAGGATGTGGCAATGTATACTATAACACTTTTATATAAAAATTTAGGTTTATTTGTGCATAGAAATTAAATTTGATACAAAAATTTATAATATATACTGTATATATTATTACTAATCAGGAATTTGGTGTGGGGGGGGGGGGGGATAATTAAAATTTTTTAAAATAAAATTATTGTTATTTAAAAATATCAAGCATAAATTTATTAGAACTAATAACTATTTCTAATATACAAATTTAAATTAATATGAATTATAAAAAATTAAATATATAAACCGATATATAATAAATATAAATTTGATTTAAAAAATATTAAACGAATATAACCGGCGGCATATAAATACTTTAAATAAATCTGAATTATAAAATATTAAGTGGATATAACCAGGATATGATGACTATAAAATAAATAATCCATAATAGAAATTTAAATTTTTTTGAGCTTTTAAAATTTATATATAAAGTATAAAAAATCTAAATGTTGGAAATATAAATAATTATATTTTTTATGTAAAAGAAAAATATATAAGACATTAAAAAATGATAGCACAAAAAATATTATAGAAACATTATATTTTTATAATGTAAAATCCAATCTTCGTTGGGAGGGAGCTTATTTTTTATTATCTCTTTGGCGTCAAATGCCTATGAATATTCAAAAGGGCCAGACCATTCAACCTACTTTCAGAAGTTGTACTTCTTCGTTTTTAATCTTCTTAAAGAAGAGAATGTTCTCTCATTAGTTGCAGTACTAATGGGAAGAGTTGCTAATATATATAATAATTTCAATATATTGGGAAAATAATCTAAAAGATGTTTGAAATGATGCAAAGCATCATAGCATTTTTTGGGACTATATCAACCATAGTTAATCTTTTATACCATAGTTGGCATCAGCTAATAAAGCATCATGAGCTACATTAATGTCTTTATGATAAAAATCTTCCAAATATTTTATTTTTTTTCTATCACCATCTGAAAAAGGTTCAGAGGGCTTTTGCGGAAGTAATATCTGCAGATTGATAAGTGTTTCTTGATAAATTAAAAACCTTTCATTTACTTGGGTTATAAATGTATCCAAAAGAGGTATAAAGACATTTATTTTATAATATTCTTCTATTGACCCTATATTAATATTTGTACGATAAGTTTGCCTTACTGTAAGTCGAGGGAGACAAATTTAACTCGTATGGTTTTCTTTTGATTCAACATTAACATATAAAATATGAAATTCCTCATCAGCATTAGCTCTAATTTCTTTGAGTTCTAATAAAATTGTCTCTGCTATTCTCATCATCTCAATCAAATCAATATCAGGTTTTTGAAAAGTATTACATAAAATAGTTGTATAATTAAATAATTTATTAATACATTCTAATGCGAAAAAAAAATTTGGTATAAGTATTGAATCCAGTAACTTGCTTGCTTCTGAAGAAATATCTTTTTCAGACATTGTGATATTTCTATAAGAGCATTAATAATCGACTCTTCTAACTCGATAAAAGCTGTTTCTGCTTGATGTCGAAGACTCCATCTTGTTGGACAAGCTTTTTGCAATTTTTTTCTCCTTGTTGGGCAAGGAGTTTCAGATATAATTCTGTTCAAAATATTTTGACGCTTGGGATATCTAAACAACTCATAGATGCTAGATATTTTACCTGATATAAATATAAAAAATTTAATTTAATAATTAAAAACCTAAGCAATTTGATATCAATGGTAAAGAACATGAATCCGATATTGCTAAGTTGAGTGAATGGGCAGCACAGTGGACATATATAGCTGTTGGGCATTTTTTTTTAATAAATGCCTGAAGCCCATTGAATTGTCCACTCATTGCACGTGCTCCATCATACCCTTGCCCACGTATCATATTTATATTTAGCTATATTTTTTAAAATAATTATATAATAAGATTAATTATTACTTTTAATTTTTTAAGATTCACAAATATTACATCAGCCCCAGTCATGCTTGAAACAGGAATAAATTGGAGAAATCCTTGATAATGTTTTTATGAGTATCTACATATCGCGCACACAACGACATCTGCTCAATGCCAGCAATGTCCGTGGTCTCATCTGCCAAAATTGAGCATGGGGCAGAATTGATTTCAACAATCAATTTTTCTAAAATGATATTGTTGCAAATATCAATTATCTCATTTTATATCCTAGGGCTGAGATAAGTAGCATTTTTATTGGTACTAATGAGGCTCTCCATTAATACAGGATCTCCTAATGCTTTAAATTTTAAAAGTCCACGGAAATTACCTTCGTTATCATTATTATTAAAATTTAAGCTTCCTGAATCCTTGTGGCCACGAAGTGCTAGGCCTTGCAAGCCACAATATAAAATAGCCTCAATAGTTAGTTTTATCTTGCCTCTATTTTCTTTTGCAATTTCAACCCTATTTCAATCATTGATGAAATGGAAATCATATCCCCCTTTTGAATTGATTCTTTTGAGGAAATCATCAGTTCACAGCTTTTGTTTATTAAATTATCATACTTTACTTTTTTGCTTTTTGGCATGATTTTCACCTTCAGCGTTTTTTAAAAAAAGTCTAATATCCATGACTAGAAATTTGAAAATTATAATACCGTGAAATTTAAAAATATTAGATAAATATTACGCCACAAGGAAAACTTGAAAACGAAATTAATTGATAAAGTAAATTAGTGAATGAAAAAGGTAATAATATAAAAATTTAAAAAGAAATAGATATGAATAATTATAATAAAATATAAAAATATAAAAAATAATATTTTTGAAAAATATGTCCGTCATCTGTATTTTGGCTTTGGGGGGGGGGATTTGTCCCCCTGCCCCCCCCTCCCCCCGCTCCGTACGCCAATGGAATAACATCTTTATTCTTTAATTATATTATTTACTATTCTATTTTCTCTATTTAGATCTAAAACAAATTTTGAACTATTAAGGCCTCATTTAAAGTAAACGTATTATCTTCAAGCGTTGCATTATTTAACGCAGCGTTATGTCAGCTGATTCAGTTTTTAAAACTAAAAGTTAAAATAGATAATTATGTTACATAATATTTTTAAAAAAACATATATCTTTTTATCGAATTCTATTATTTTTATAATCTTATCGCATATATTTTAACAACGCATCGCAACATATTTTTTTCATATTTTATTATAAGTTATCATAACGCTTCATATTTATAGGCTAATTTTGTAATAACTTTGCGTTAAATAACGCAATGCTTGAACTTAACGTGTTTACTATAAATGAGGCCTAAGACAGATACAAAAAAATGACTAATTATGGCTTTTAAATATACTTATTGAAAAAAAGACCAACTTTAAAATAAGCCAAATTTGGTCCTTGTTCAATTACTTTTTAGCCTGTACTAAAAAGCTATTAAGTATCCAAATTAAATTGACCTAGGACACAGCCTTAAGCTCAGAATAAATACTTAACGTTCAGAAAAAATATTGAATGACCAGAATTATTTTTTAATACTCAGATAAAAAAAACTAATTGCCCAGGTATAAAACGGAAACTATTAGATTAAAATGAATCGCTCCGAATATGTGAAATGCTCAGAAATTGATCTTTTTAAGAAAATATCTGAATAGTAAAAATTATGAGCTTTAAATTTTTTTTAATTCTGAGCAATTAAGGAAAAAAATTCTGAACGTATCAGCTTTTTTTTGAGCTAAATAATGTCTATTTAAAATTTTAAAACACTTAGTCCTATGATATTCTTTGCTGAGTTATTTTGTCAAGACATTTCTCTCTGATTACCAAATTTTTACATTATTGTCATGATTACATTTTTTTGGCCCGCCCAGATCAATTTATTTTTTTCAGCCGACAAAAGTATAATGTAAAAAATGGTTACATGCTAATTTTTATGAATATTTTTCCATAATATTTTTATAGAATTCTAATTAATAATTATTTTTTATTAAGGATTATTATTTATCAAACAAAAACGACATATTTTTAAATACTAATCCGATTGTTTCATCCTTAATGAATCCTTCTGCATTTAGTTTGGAATGCCCATACTTTCAAATATTGGACAAATCTAAAAATTCTTCAGATATTAATTTTAACAAAACTAGAATTACCACGGCATGTTTCATTAATGAAATATCAACGCCAAATTATTCACAAAAACTTATAGGTACAATTATATAATAGAGTTTATATTAATATTTACATTTCCATTCTTAGATTATTTTTTGATCGTGCACTCAGAACCAAAATCTTCAATTGAAAAAATTACCAATTTAAATTTTTTTGCCAACACTCAAATGTAAAATTTGTTTGCCTTGAACTACGAATCTCATAAACAATCGAAAAATATCTTAAATCAATTATTTTTTAAAAAATGAGATCTTGTATATTTTTAGAAATCGATGTAGATTTAGAAAATATGAAATTAAAAAATAATATTTTTAAAATAATAGAAAAATAAAATTTATTTGTGTATTATACTATGGAGATTTTTTGTGAAATGTAAAAGTTTACTAATACAACACTCTTAAAAATTTTCATACCCAATCTATAATACCAAAGATTGTTATATGAAGCATAATGATTATATATTTGTTTAAAAAACATTTATAAGATTTCTTTAAATTAAATCTACTTTATTTTACTTTGTCTATATTTGCTAATTTATATAAAATCTTTCTAATGTTTAATTAATATCAGAGACCTGCAGGCCCGGCCTTAAGCCCAGCCCGGATTTAGGGCCGGGTATGTCTCCCCCTATTGCTTAATGTGGGTATACTAGAATTGAGAGTATTTTAATTTAAAATATACCCGGGCGGGGCCTGAAATTTTTTTTAAAAAAAAATCTGGGCTGTGCCTTGCAAATTGTACCTCTGCAGGTCTCTGATTAATATCAAGGGAAAAATTAACATAAGAATTTAATGAGGAGAATACAAAATTTTTAAAATTTAATGGAAAATAAAGTACCTTGCTTAATATATTGTATCAGAACAATTCATAATAATGTTTTTTAAAAAATGAACATTAGCTTTTGAGCTCTTACAATACAGTAGAGTCGCTAGGGGGGGGTGCGGACAGGGGCTCGAGCCCCCTGAAAAATTTGAATAGCCCCCCTGAAGCGAATTTTTTTTTTAAATGACTCCTTAATATCCCCGAATTAAAAGTAAATTGTTTTAATTGCTCTCTGAACAATTTCTTTTATAATTCTATTGAGTAATATATAGATTTAATTTTATTATAAAAAAATTAATAAGACTACTAAATTTTTATTAAATGAATACTATTTTAATTATTAGATTAGATTAATACATATAAATTATATTTTCACTATGTCAGTTTGCGATCAAATTCTGTGTTAAAAATATATCAACATTACTCACTAAATATTAATATAGCATTAACAGTTGAATCTTAATTGACTTTTATTATTTAAATTATTATATAACCCTAATTAAATTAATATAATAATTTATTAATAGAAAATTAACAAATTTAATTGTAATTAGCCGAGTTTAACATCACTAATCAACTATATTATTGATTTTTAAATTTAATTATCATGTCTCTTTCTAAAATTATTTTCAAAGTCCAAATCCAAATAAGTATAAGAGATTTATTTATAAAAAGTAAGTAGACATATTGTTTATAATCCTCTATTATATATAATTATTTATAGGTAAAATGCTACTTTTGCAGCGTATTTGACAGTTTTATAATATATTACAGTTAATATTTTTAAAATTTTTCTAATCAATGCTTTTGATAATAAATATAAGTAACAATTTGCATTCAACTATTTAACGCCATCTATTTATTTAAAATATTATTATAATTAAATATCTTATTATTCATCCCACAATGGATGTAATAAATTAGATATCTTTTTTTACATGTTTTTAGGCAAGCTATTTTTTTCTTCTTTAAAAAACAGTTTTGAGTTAAATTTTTAATAGGAATATATTTTAGATATTATTAAACTACTATTATTTTAAGATATAATATACCAACTAGAGATGGTGCGATAATAATATATAAAATTTTAATTGCTTTCACTATATCTCTGGTTCTTATTTTATAGTTACAAAATGTTTCATTTCTAATATGTCATCCTTGCCGTGTAAATAACTCAAGGCTTCAATTTATTTGCATAATTTCTTCTAAATATTTTTAGTGTTTTTGTTTCATCAATTCTAACATAATAAATTCTGATATGGGTTACCATCGTGAGTGTCATGGCTATGACTGTAAATTAACCAGCATCTATTATTTGTGTGGCTATGTAATTTAAGATTATTACTACAGCTGCTGAGAGCATATAATTGCATGTTTTAGATATGCAATAATGGTCAACTGTGTAGTCGTTTATATATCATTAAAAATGGAATATAATCTTTTAGAAATTAAATATCTTACAATAATTTTCTATATCTTACAATAATTTTCTCGATTACTTATCTAGCTTCCAGGGCCGTAGCCACGGGTTTTTGGCCCCCATAAAAATCTTTGGCCCCCAAAAGTGGGCCCCAAAAATTTTTCTGCCCCCCCTCCCCAAATTTGAAATTTTTTTTTAGAATTGATTATTTTTATATTTTTAATATAAATTTTGAATATTTATTCAAAAATATTCAAAAAACATGTCTATTTAGAATTGATTATTTTTATATTTTTAAAATAAATTTTGAATACAAACATGTCTAGTTTGTAAATTTTTTTCTATCCAGTTTTATTTTTATTTTACCCAATATTAAATTATCATTCATTCATTTTTTTTTCATTTTTTTTTGTTGTGTATAACATTCTCTATAGGTATCACATTTATATTATAATATATAACCAGTTATTTTATTTTACAGCGTTTATTTTAAAATTATAAAGAAACAATCAGTTATTAACTCTTATTTTAAGTTAAAGTTAAACAAATGTCAAGCAACATCACTTCTACAAACTACTAGTAATACTATATCAGAAATTTCAGAAACAGATTAGACTGATTTACAGAAGATGATTTTAATCTTTTTTCATCTTTTAATACATTGCCCCCCCCCCCTTGACCCTGATTATTTTTTATCAGATAAAATGGCCCCATTGGAAACACTGCATCATGAAATGAAGATAGCAAAAGGATTGCTAGCTTCGGAAGCTAAAGAAAATAAATTTTGAAAATATCTTACATATTATGTATAAAAAAATATAATAATGCATTTAAAGAATTATATAAATGCTACTCAGCAGCAATAAACGGCTTCTTGTGAGGCCTCGTTCTCTACATTAAAGAGAGTTTTATCGAGCAGTAGAGAGTCTATGAAGGATAAACGTAAACAAAATTTAGTATTAATGGCGTATGAAAAAAGAATAACGCAGAATTTATCTTTTAGTTCATTTATATTAAAATTTAAAAATAAAAATCGCCGTATTCTATTAAAGTAATATTTTGTTTTGTATATGCATATTATAGTATTATTTTGTTTTGTATATTCATATTATAGTATTATTTTGTTATTAAATTTTTAATAAAAATAGGAAAAAATTTCTATGAATGCGTAATTATTTGTTTGATTTTAAAAAAATAGTGCCCCCCCCCCCAGTAAGCACTTGGCCCCCCTAAGTGAAAATTCTTGGCTACGGCCCTGCTAGCTTCCATCATGTCATCTAAGAGGAAGCTCTAACTACCATAGTTTTATGATTTGGATTGGTCGTTTATATTCTCTTCAAGAATTGTTAATTTGGTAAGGCCTATAAATTTTTTCTTATTAGTTAATTCTATAAAACGTTGTCTAAAATGGTAACAGAGAGTTATATTAGTTTGATGACCTTTTGTCAATGTAAGTTGCTAAGAATTATATAGTTTTATGTGGTTTTTAAAAAAAACCATTATCAATTGAGGCATATGTAAGAATTATTTAACCTTTTTTATCACTTGTAATTCTTTAGACGCAAATATTTTTATAACAACCATCGAAAATATTTAATACTCTAATAAATAGATTTTGTATTAAAAAATATTATTTTTAGATATGTCTGGTATTGTTTTAATTATTTATATGTTAGTTTATTTTGTATGCAAAATATAATAAATGACAAAATATGAAATTCAGAATAATTGTTTAGAGTTAGCAAATTTTAAAATAGTATAATATATTAATATAAACCCGCAAATTAAGAGTATGGGGGGCTTCGGCCCCCATAAAAATTTTTGTAAAGGCAAGCGACGCCCCTGTTACAATATATTAAATAATCTTAATAAACTTTGACATCGATGCATAGAAACTCAAAAACAAACTCCATTTTGTTAGTTCATTTAATTTTTAACCCGTTATATTAATAAATTTTAATTTTTTTTAAATTATGGTGTAAAAAAGAAAAGTAAATCTTATTTGTAAAAAAGAAAAGTAAATCTTATTTGTAAAAAAGAAAAGTAAATCTTATTTGTAAAAAAGAAAAGTAAATCTTATTTGTAAAAAAGAAAAGTAAATCTTATTTTTTTTAAAAAAAAATTTCTTATTGTTGTGCTTTTAAGGGAACATCAGGAATATATGTTAAGCGACAAAAAAAAACAAAAAATAATTTCGCTTCAATGAAACGTAATAATGTATACAGTTTTCAAGATAAAATATTTTATAGCATGTTTCCTAGATGTTGCTGATTTATATATAAGTCATAATCTTATGAAAATAAATTAATAAAATTCAATGGTTAATAAATATGTAAAAGAGATCAGTCAGCAAGTGAATAAAAATTAAATTTCATGGTATCATCGCACATAAACTCTTATTATGTTATTATAAAATACGTAAACTTTATATTTTGTTATCATTCAATTCGAACATCATATAGAATAAATGTCAATACCCCTATCTTATCGTTTTTTCGAACAAATTTTTATTTAAAATGAACATTTATAAAAATAATATTTTTTACAATTTTATATAAATTTCTTAAATGAATCAATAGTATTGCAAAAAAGTATATATAAAATAATCAAAAAAACTTAATTAATTATATAAAAAAATTTTAAATAAATTTCTTAGATACATCAATGGTAATGCATAAAAGTATATTATAAAATAATCAAAATAATTTATAGCTTAATAATTATTATTTAATCATATAAAAAAATTTATATATTGTTATTTTAATAATAATGGGCATCATGGCTTATTTTACATGAGGTAAATATCCTTCACAATCTTGAACACATACCTATAAATTTAAAAGAGGAAAAAAATATTTGTCAAATGTTTACCTTTGTATTTTAGAAAATTCCAACTAATTATCCACATACGATTTACATTTTTTATTATATATAATTTTTATATCGTTTCACAAATTTTTTTTAAATT